TTTATCTACAGGCAAAGTCGCAAAAAAAGCCTAATCTCTTATGCGTGCAAACGACCCACGCATTAGGACACAAATATATAATTACAGAGTTATTCCGTGTGTTTTTGTCTAATTATTGTTATTTATGTTTTCCTTCTTTTTGTGCTCTCTCTATGTGTGTGAGCTGGAAGGCAGGACTTCAGTGAGTGTGTTTTGGGTTTGTGTACATCAGGATGCCCGTTGCCAGGTATTAAAACTGAAATGCGCGATCTAAAGAAGGATGAGGCACGCCCCCAACTGCAATCTTTTGCCAGGATTTACTCAGCTCCCCTGTAGAGGAGGTACTACCACACCCTTCCCACCCCCGTGCTACTCCTTCATACCCCCCCTGGAGATCCACTAGGGAAATCCTTTCCCCTCACCTCATGTTGGATGTTAATGAAAGCAACACTTCTTTGAACAAACCTGTTTAGTTACTGGTATTTGTTCGTGGCAGCATGGACCAGCTCGGTAATCACAAACAGCAAAACACCCCTTTACTGGCTCCACCCCCAACCTCCCATCCTGAGCTGTGACCAGATGCTAGTCCCCGGGGCCAGCTATCAGGCAAACTGCTCTCCACTCCTCTCACTCCGCTCACCTATGATTCTTTTTCCCTCCATCCCGCAGTCCTTCCTTCCTCTTGCTCTCCCACTGTGAAAAGATACTAATTACAACCATGGATGAGTAGATTATAGATCTGAAGTGAAGTGGAAGTGGGATGAGGAGAAGTCAGGGGTGGTAAAACGAGGCAACAGGTCGTTAACAGTGATGAATGCAACTCTATTTTCACTGTTATTGTTCACAGCACCTCTTGCTGCTGCACTACGTTTCCCATTTCTTTTTGTTGGTGCCATCCATAAACAGCACTAACTAATCCTAATCATACCTGACTAACTCTAATCAGACCTAATCAATTTCAGTTATCCTTCCTTTTCCCCTAATGCATGCATTTCTCAGTACCTCTTAGGCTTGCAAAGAGACGGAGTAAGATGGAAAGTATATGAATGGGTAAGCTCACAAAACAATAAGCAGAGCACCAAACTATGTAAAATATACTTTTCCAACCTCACTTATTTGTCATGCGCTCGAGAGAGGCAATACCATTTGCACATGCAAAGTTCTGAGTTTGTGCAGAACTGCTATGAAAAAGTAATTATTTCTAAAAATAAGAATGCTGGTTTTTGTCTCTTGGTAGATGTTAGAAGAACATTTTATCAAAATCAGTAGCCTACTTCTTCATCTCTTTGTAGTGAAAACACATTAGCCTCTCAGCATGGGAAGTGTTTCAAATTTCTCCACTAAAAAACACTCTGCTTATTTAACCAACAGCTTTTTTGTTAACTCAGTAGCTCTTCCTCTCAAGCTCAATAAGAGCAACCATTTCATCATCTGCCATCCTTTGCTCCTCTGTCCCATTGCCCCTCGTTCTGTTTGCCCTCGCAGCGGGGTGTCTGTGACAAATAGACACTTTTATTAAACAAGCTTTGCCTGAAGTCCACACTCCAGAATGAGCACAACAGACCACAAAAAAGGAAAAGGGGGAGATGAAGAGAGACAGCAAGAGTGTGAGAGCACAAAAAAGGAGAAGGGGAGCGAAGCAATTAATCCTGCCTCCGAGTGGAGAAAAACCATCTGGGTTAGTGCTCCACCTGAGGGCAGCGGGGATTCACATTAACCTTACTTGTTGGGATCATAAAGGCAGGACTTAATAAGCCCCTGTGAGCTTTTTGAGCAAGTGCAACGTAAAACACAAATTTGCCGTTTCTGTGTGTCTGTCCCTCTTTTCTCGTCAGACATGTGTTCAAATGCATGCGTGAAATAGCATGAATGCTCCTCCTTTGGGACATTAGGATCTTTTTACTCCGTTAATGCTGCTGGTGGGACAAAAGCAATCCTGTAACCTAACCACTTCAGACTTCAACCAGAAGCTGAACTTCGGCCCAGACACACTGCTTTGGATTAAAGACACACCTCAGGAAAAAACCTTTGTCTTTACGACACTCCTAATCCCACTTCGCTTGTATTAATCTTTAACAAGCACTGGAAGACTTGAGAAAAGTATCATCTGTCAATCAGCCACATAAGCCATAAAAACTGAATTCTTATCAATTTCATGGAATTTGTTGAAGCTGTTAAACGTATGGCTATTCCACTCCTGAAAGGCTTTTAAGGTCTGTAAAAGATATCTTTCGTAAAGCCAAGGATGAACAAATGAGTGTAAATACAGACACATAGCAAATCGATTAAGCAATGTTAAACAATGTCTCATTCTCCACAACGTGGCAGGAAAGCCAGCCCTGGGTTTAAAATAATGACCATGAAGTTAGCCTGGATGAAAAATCAGAGCTGTGTTAGCACAATACTCTGGCTGCTGGCAGAGGCTGCTGCTCCAGATGGACTAATCACACTTGCTCAAGGCCGTCCGCTGGTCTGGAAGGCCTCGGCCTGCTCTGTGTCGAATTCCAGAAAGACAGACAACTTAGAGCTGTTCAGTATTAGCAAGCCTTGAGAAGGCCATCCTTACCTAAAGGAAGAGGTTTTGCCCTGAAGCCCAAAAGGCCTGTTTTGGCATAATGATAGGTGACATCGAGTTGCAAGGAAGTGACAGATAGATTCAAGATGGTGTTAAACATCAAACAAAGGATAAACACATGGAGGGCTGAAGCCGGGGTCATTGGTTAGTGGCTATGAGGATAGATGGGAGGGAAATGATTTTTCCATGTCCCGCTGTTTCATTATTCCCAGATGCTCCAGGTAATCTGAACCAAAATGGGAGCTGAAATGATCACCCAGTAACAAGGACAGTGATTATCCCAAAGAAAAGAAGCGAAGGGGAAAAAAGCCGCTGAGCCCGTTTGCAGATGGGAATCAAAGTTTAGTGAATTTGAGGGGCTGTCTACTTTGGGTGAGCAGCAAGTGGATGTGTGGGTGTATGACAGTGCAGGACGGGTCCGAGAGTGATTCAAAAACCGTGATGACATATTTCATTTATATGATGCAGTGGACTCCACTGGCAGAGTGAGCTTCGAGGACTTGATGCAAAATGACCTGACTCAGTGACACGCACATCCTTTCACCAGGAACTGAGCTCAAAGTCTTGTTCAGTGAATTTGCCCTTTACTTAAGTCATATCAGCCTGCTGTCACCAGTGGAATATCTCACTGACACACTAACACAGAGAAACAACAGACGACTTGGCAGGAATGCCCCACAACGGTTTCATTTTCTTATAATAAGACCTGACAAACTGATAACTATCCCAGAGTCCTGCTGTCCCTTCCAGCAAGTGCAGATGACACCCAACAGTTCTTTAATTGTGTTTAAACCTAACACAACCAAGGCCAGCCTTTGTCATACTTACATCTCCTAGAAAAAATGTTGTGTGAAAATAAGAAAAGAAAAAGACATGTGGAAAGTGTGCTGACTGGGTTAAAAAAAGACGATGCACTTACAGTCGAGACAGGGCAGGGTTCTTCTGAAACAGCAACTCAGGAAGCTGCTGCAGTTGATTACGGTTCAGCCGCCTGTGGCAGGGAAGACATATGATCAACCAGTGAGTTTACATTTGCGTCCTTGAATGTGCAGGCTGTGAACCATTTCTTCTAGCTTCCATAGAATCAGCTTAGCCACAGGCTATTGTGTTTCAGTGTGTCTGAGCGTCACATAAATATCTAACTGAAAGTTCAGGGGAATTAAACTGTGAGTCGGAGACAGTGCCGTAAATTGTCTCTGTACAGTTAAATTACAACGCTGCGCCTTGTGGAATTCAGTGTTCTGCTGACTTTCCTAGAACAACAGAAGAGCGACATTACCATTTAGATAAGCAACTTACATTTGCCAGTAATGAGCACATCAACACATTTCTACTCGTTCAATTCAAAAGGATGCTTATATATAAAGAGATTCCAATGAGCAAGTTAAAATCCAAGAAAGCACTGATAGGATCGGGTGAGCCCATGTTAAACAACAAGTTTCCAAGACTAGCAGGCTTTATGCAAATACAACGGTTGAGTCAATGAAGAACAGGCTGTTGCTAATCTTTTGGAAACCACAACTCTCTCCTCTCTGAAAGGCTCAAAGGAGGCCCAAAGGACTGAATGGAGTGGCACGGAGGGGCTGCAAATGTGAAAGGCAGGCTTCTACCATGCCCTCAGACTCATCCAGACAGATGTTGGGACTTGTGCTCCTTACATTGTATACTGAGCGCAGTGACTGTGCAGCTGTGATGGAGTTTCGGTTCATGACAGACAATAATGGTCTCCTGCTGCCCTGCCGCCTTCACATTGAAGTGTACCTGCCAGTGGGTTTGTGGCTTTTACACATAGGCGAAATTAGCCACTAAATTTCCACATTGGTCTGGCACATGGGTATGTCTACTCAGTGTTTGGATCAGCTGAATATAGGGAGAGAAGGAAGAGAGTGCGTGGCTTTAAGATTGGTAACATAGATGGCAAAAGTGGGTTTGAGATCAGATGAAAGTGCTTTTTTTATGTTAACCACTGCCTGAGAGTGTGAGTCCATAAAGTCATCTGCTGTGCAGGTTTCCATGTGGGCTGTGCAATTGATTTACTAATGAGCTGGTTGAGGTGTGGTTGATTGTGTTTGTCTGTGTGTTTTCCCAGCTGCTTTACAAGCTGTCGAGGAGTCCTGGTGCTGTCCAGATGAGCCAAGGCCTGCGGTGGGGGAGGCCTTTTAAGCCCACACATCCCACTGAGGGCATTCCTGTCAGGCAAAGCTAATAAAAAATACTCCCAGCCCACACTGTACCCTCTCAGCACCATCCAACCACAATGGATTGACAGGGAAGTGCCTCAATTTTTTATTCAGCTGGTTTCTACTGTTAATCTCATTATCCTCAAGCAACACAGGCACTGAAAACATATCAGTGAAAGTGTGGGCTTCTCATTTCAAGTTCAAGTTTAAAAAAAGAAATAACAATGTGTTCAGCCAGTCTACAGAAAACCTCAGGGGGTACTCACAGTCTCTCCAGCTCCTTCATGTCATCAAAAGCCCCACGCTCAATCACTGTAATCTGATTCTCCATCAGCTGCCTGCAGAAAGGGACACAGGGAGAAATATGGGACTTTGACAATCACTAAAGTTTCAACAAGGTATAGGGTGCTGTAGGTGCTTGGCTGATGACACTTCTTGCAGTATATCGTTGAGTTCAGTAAATTCAGCGCTTCTCTCTCGCTCTCTTTTATACACACACATACACACACACACACACAGAGGGCATTGCTGTGGACTGAGGGCACAGTGTGGAATCTTGGCAATAGGGTCAAGAATAGCAGCCAGGAAAGTTTCCAAGGTAGCTCAGAAACTGTGAGACTGGGCCCTAGTGTGGTCCAAAGGGTGTAGCAGCTGGGTGGAGACGAGACGAAAAGTAAGCAGGGGGTCAGAGAGCATGAGGTTAGCACCACAGCTTTTACAAATCACACAATCAAAGAAAAGCTGAATGCATGTGTGTTCCTTTGGACGGCCCGGAGTGTATCAGAGGTCCGGGCACTCCATCAAGGCTATTAGTTATACACAAGCAAATACAAACACACGCATGCAGCAACACATCCTTTCCTCACCTATATTGCCAAAGCTAACGCTCAAAAGGAGGCTTGGATAGTTTTGGAAGTGTTACAATAACACAAAATCAGGAAGGAGAGAAGTGTGTCCAGCAGCATTGGAAGCAACAAGAGCTTTCCTTCATTACGTATACAACTGTTCTGTGTTGAAGGTAACCTCTCGTGTCTCCTGTGAGGCCATGGCGAGCTGCAACTCAGCAGTCTGGGCTTCCTCCCCATCGAATATAAATGCTAATCACTGTTCACACTCCATAAACATGGAGAGAAAAGTGCAATTCACCTCAGATATCTTCCTCATGAATTTAGATGGGAGGGAAAAAACACTGTGAAGAATACTTTTGAATTGAGAAAACTTTTTTGCAGAATGCTGGAGTGTGTTGCTCTCACATTCTCTGATATCTTTTTATCTACCTTCACTCTCTTTCCAATCTGCTTTTTCTCAGACACACGAAGAGAACAGGCATGCATCCAGTATCAAGCGAAGAGGTAAATCAACTGTGTTGATTCAAGGCTGTCAGAATAGATGGCAGCTGACTGTAAAGATAAACCTCTGTTCCTGTTTTTTTTCCTTCTGAGGGTTGCCCGGGGGTCAGCAGGATCAGGGGTCCTCCTGCTGTTAGTTTTAATGCAGTTGCCACACAAAAGCGCCACACAAAGTCTCCCACCCACTGTATCTTAATCCTGCATTTTGTACATCGTTGGCTTAAAAATTTCAACCAGTAAGTGGTGTGTGTGCAAGTGCAATTAAAGTGATGTGGGAGAATCAGAGCCTTTACAGCATGGAAAGCTCTGTCTGTCTTTAGTGCTCCTGCAAAAAGCTGTTTCCTTTTTACTTGCTACTGACAAGCTGGCGACATGAAAGCATTTAACCTCTAGATGGGGTGTGGAAGGTGGCGAAGAAAAGTAGGCAAACAACGAGAGGGCATGGAGACTGGTGGGACCCCAGCGGGAAAAAGAAGGAGAGGACAGGGGGATGGGCGAGTAGCGATGAGGCTTGAAAATAGTCAAGCTTTGCTGGGTAGTAGGAATTATGTTCAGCTCATGTTACATTTCAAACATGTTTAGGTCGACGCAGCTTCCCCTTATGCTGTGTTTTTAACACCTCTGACTCTACACACAAGTCTTTGCATGCATGTGTATGCAGACAGGCACTTTTACAACTACTTTATTACCTACAATCACAAGTGCTGCTTAATTTCACCACTGAGGGAGTCAATGACTTCACCTAAATGTGTTAACTGTGCTGAGAGCCTGCTTAGAAGCAGTGCTTGTGTGCGCCTAATCTGTGGAGGTGTGGGAATAGAGCTGAAAAGAGTGTGCACGTATGTATGTCTAAGGGCTAATGAATGCAACGACAACAGGCAGAATACAGTTGGAGACAAGTCCATTACATTTCTAACTGCAGTAACTCAGCAGCTTAATGTACTTCTGAGTGGGACTCTTGACAAATGCGTTGCCACTTCACTGGGTTTGAACTAATTTGAGTTGCAAATATGTAGAACATAAAGCTGCAAGGTTACGTACAGCTCAGATATGCATGAATAAATAAACTTAAACACTGACATGCTCTAAACATACAAAGATTTCATTGTAACACATGAGCAAAAAGACAAGTACTTACAGAACTCTGAGGTACTTCAGTCCTGTGAAGTCACTCTTAGTGATGCGTGTCAGATTATTTCCATTCAGCTCCCTGCAAAAAGAGACACGCAAACGTGAATAAATAATTAATTTTTTTCACCCTGTAGACCTGTTCTGCCTGATGACTAAGGAAGCAGATGGTTGTATGGAGGTATCTTTGGCTACTGATACCTGACCCACAATTTTAACATTTCTGAACCCATAAAACTGCACAATTCAGGCATTCATGGACCACACACACACACACCAGAGGGGGTCTAGATCTTTGGCAATATGATAATGCATGTAAAATATATGCCTTGAATAAAAGTGCATGTTTCTATGAAATGCAAATTGCTGTACTGTTAAATTTAAAACATTCGCTTGGGCAGAATCGCAGAGGTTATGTTAAAGGGAAGTTCAAGCTCAGTTCTAACTCCACTGGGAAATATTAAGAAGTCCTATTAAAATGGAAGCCACATTTGAGCTGCCTGTTTGCCTCTATTCCAGTGCTCTCCCAAAAACACACACAATCCCCCTCCTCCCCATTCCCCTGTTTCTGTCTGCCATGTCCCTCTACAATTGCTGAGGATTAGCAGGAGCCAGCAAAAGGGATTTGGGCAGGGCCGTAAGGCCAGAAAGCTAAGTGCTGTGAATATAATGGAGCAGCCTCCCTGCTGAGAGCTGGCCATCACTGCGAATAGAAGAAACAGGCAAAATATCTGAAAAGCAAAAGTTGTAAATGGAGCTTTGTTTTCTACTTGCAGACAATGAGGCCCTTAAAAGTATTGCTACTTTGACTTTGGTCGGTGCCGAACTTGACTGCAGCCTACATGTAAGAGGGGCTTGTGATGCAGTTTGTTTGTGCAAAAGAATCTGAACAGCAGAGTGGATTCTTGCACACAGAAACAAACCATTTATACCATGTGAAGCATGCTGGCTATAGTGAAAAGAGATGCATACTATTTTGATGTTATTCTCTCTTTAACACGCTCTCTAAGTGTAATATATGTCCACCCTACCCTGAACCCCATCAAAACTCTATCCCAAAGCAAAACCAAAAAAAAACTGGCTCCAAACTGACAAGGAGAGCATGGGTCTCTCTCCCTCAGTTGCACTCTCGTCTAATGACTACTCGAGGGACTGTAGCGCTATGCAGTACGAAAAAGAATGGTCATTACAGACAGATGGTGCACGTGTGTGCGTGCATGCAGGCATGTGTGTATACACAGGTGCATGGACAGACCGGGCGTCACAGCCACGGGAAAATAAATAATGGACTGGGCTTCATTAGCCTGGGCTCAGATACACGCACATGTGGTGCTCATTACAGGTGCTTACGTACATGCACACATATACCCACACGCCGCTGGATTTTCACTGTCTTATCTTCAGGGTGGTCAAAACTGATGAGACCCAGAGGACATTAACAAGGAGGAAGATAGAAGACGCAGAAGGGGAGAGAGATGTTTAAGGTGAGGAGTACCAGGAGGTATTTGTGCGGAAAAACGATAAACCACAGAAACATTCTTCTTCAATACTTAGGTTTGTTGTCACAAATGCTCCAGAGCTTTAATCTCTAAAGTTTCTATGCAGGAACATTTAATCATCTTGTATTGGGTAAAATCTGAGAAACCGTTATCTTTAAGTACACAACTGCTCGGAAAGGTTGTGAACTTTGGATATTACTCAGATGCCTTCAGCAGCCTATGATGGTTTTCCAGTCATACGTTGTTACTCCATGGAGTCATACAAGTAACGACTACACGTAGCACATAACTATGGTTCCCTATGCAAATGGTCAGTTAACTGATATGTATAGACTGTGTTTATATCTGTTTATTCTACATCAGAACAGTGAAAAATGTCGAAAAGCCATGTATAACGAGTGTTTTTTCCCAAATCAAAGAAGGCTTAGCAATAACTTTTGGCACCGCAGTAAAGGGACATCAACTATTTCATAGACAGATGTTTTGTAGCACTGACTCTGGGCAGGTTTTCACATTAAAGTATAGCTGTATTACTTTGGAAGCTGAAAATTATTAGGTATCGCTCTGAATTCCTGCAGCAAAGGATTTCCACCTCCAACTGCTTCAGTCAAATCCATTCCATCCTCTGGAAACTTCTGGAAGAATTCCCACTGCTGACACACTTCCTGCAGAGAAAGTGGATTTATGACATCACTATCTAATCCCTCTTCATCTTCCATCCCGAGCTGATTGATGCTTGAAAGTATTTCCTGGTGCACCTTCCCCCGGGTGGACGCACAGCAGCGAGGCCGTACCAGTCCACATCTCTATAATTCAAAGGGCCTCAGAGAACTGCTACAATGCTCAAGAAGTCATTACATTTATTTCTGCCAGCTGCTGGGGTCTCTCTGCAGAGCTTGTGTTGGACCTGTTTCTAATTCACTAACACTACTTGAAACGAAAGAGTTTACTGGAGGGAAAATGAGCAAACACCGTGGCTCGCTGAGGGAAGAATACAGATTACAGTCAAGAGGCAACAAATTCCCCCACTGGCATGTACAGAAACACCATTTGTGGAAAAGGCAACGTGGGTTAATGATGGCTAATGGACAACTCACACAAGATAGAAAAAAAGCAGACTGCTCTATTTAGCGTTCAAACGGTTTCATTAAGTTGTCCTCTCTAATTGATTACTAAAACTCCTCTCCCCTTAGTATGTGACTCAGCAGTGTCTCATACAAAGAGTTTCTTGCTTGGAGCGACTTAACAAATAATGATGCAAAAAAGTATTCCTATAATCTGGAAAAAATAAAGCTTTATGTTTATTGTACTGATACACAAAACGATGGAATGATGACAATGTTAAAGTAAAAAAAAGACAACACGTACAAAAAGGAGGTGAAAGCACATGGTCATAAAAACATACATGCTTAGAAATTATGTGTTTTACAGCACAATCCACAGTTGTGGTTCCTGTCATGTGATATACTGTATGGATCTTGCCTTACACAAATCACCTGGTTACATATACATTCTCATGTGCTTCTGGGGAAGACTAGGACCCCATTCAACTAAGAACAAACTAGAACAGCTAAATAAACCTTCAGTTTTGGAGAAAAAAAAAATCAAACAAAATTCAAATTGAAACAACGACAATAATTTTTCTCATTCATTCTATGAAATTACCTCTAAATGCCATATTTATGTACTTATTTTTTGCATAGCAGTCATTCTGTATCACTGCTGGGAGCACCAGAGGACCATTTGTCCTGAACAGCTTTAGCCTGGCAGGGAGGACAGAAGCCGGCTGATTGAGGATTGGTGGCACGATGCTGTCCAAACTCTACTCTGTGAAAACAATCTGATTACCAGAACCCTGAAGCCCTGCAACCCGAAGCACGCACGCTCATTAACTACACTTACAGCCTGACAATAGTATTTGAACAGACCAACTAATGCTCACCAGGACGAAAGAACAGGTTCAGAAGCTGTAATCAAGCAAAACAGAGCTCCTCCTACAGATTGAGCACCATATGGAAGTGACAGCCGTGAAACAGGCAGGTGGAGAGGAGGAAAGAAGGGGAAAGGTACAGTCCCAGAGAGACAGATAGAAGATAGAGAGAATCTGAGGGTGTTGTTAACTGTCTGGGAGTGACGGTGTGAAGCAGCGTGGAAGAGTGTTGCGAGTAGCCAGGGAGCTGTGAAGAACCGATGGACTGTACAGCAAATGGCTGGAGCTATTCAGGTAAGAGTGGACAAAATAGTAGGAAAGAAAGAAAGAAAGAAAGAAAGAAAGAAAGAAAGAAAGAAAGAAAGAAAGAAAGAAAGAAAGAAAGAAAGAAAGAAAGCAAAATCATGACCAAAATACAACACTCTTAAACCCAACTGGAATGCTTCCATCTACACAAACGGGTCCTATTTCTGCTCAGCTTGAACAAAAATTCCCTCACCATTGAAATGTGGCTGTCAGACAAACAGCTAATGCCCTGAACTGTACCTTTTTACTGCGCGCGCGTACCGTCACGCGAGGGTGCGTGTGTGTGCAGCGCGTGAAGACTGTGTGAATGTGTTTTCCCAGCTCCTCAAGGGCTATTTACAGTGTTCATTCTGCTCAGTCAGGCCTCAGGAGCAAGATTACTGATAGGAAAGTTAAACATGAAGTGGATCTCACACAGTCAGTGCCCACAGACACATACACTGCTCCTTCTCAGAGCCTGGTGAGTGTGGGGTCTCCTGCATCCTGCAGAGCCCATCTCCTTGTATAAACAGCGAAAAGGTAAAAGTGTGTACATTTCTAAGAAGTACAAAAACTGCAATAGATCGCTAGAAAGTTTCAAAAGCACAATGAGGAGCCATAGAAAAGAAAAGACAGGCAAATTACACGGACACTCTATAAAGCATAAATGACTATTTTAGCTTAAAGCTAATCCATTAAACATCTGTGCCAATGTGTGTTACTGCAACAGGATGGAAAAAGGACACCCAGAGAACTGTAGCTGAGGCTGTGACTGAAGGGTCTTTCATGGTTTATACTGTATCTGTGGTTTGTTCAGCAGCAGACTCTGAGGTTCTGTTGTGGCTTGGTATCATGTTTGAAGGCACTTGGACTATAAGGCTGTTCATTCTGGCGATGAAGCGCAAGATGTGGATGAAACATCTGCTGCCACATCTATGTTTCAGTTATTACAAACAGACGACTAAAACAATGTTTGCCTTACAGATGTGCATCGACAACTGTTCTCATACAGAGTACACTTGAATCTCTCCTTTGATATGAACAAAGAATGAAACTCTCACTCCCAAAGAACCCTCATGCTCTGTACAGCGATAGGCAAAGCTGCTCGAAGAAAAAGCATTTAATGTGAAAATTAATTAATGAATTAAGTAAAAAACATATTTTTTTAAGCTGTAACCATGAGATCATTATTTGATTAATCAAGCAAATTGTTTCCTATATTAATTTAAGTTTTATTGAGGGATAAGCATACAGACAAAATAGTTTTTGGGTTGTGGAAAAGCGGAATAATTGAGACTGGAATAGTTGACTGATTTTGAAAACTTCAAAAAGTGAATATATTTGTAATCGTTCACTCAAGAGCATACCGATATCTTAAGTATGCAGAGTGAAATACACCCTGAGTGTATCTGGACTGGTGCCGATACTCTTGAACTAACAAAAAAGAAGCATCCGGAAAACTGTGAAATGTGGGTTACCCTCGTGTCTGCAGTGTCAGACGAGTGTTTGCTGATGGGAGTTTTGACACACATATATCTCCCTGCCTCTTCACTCTCTTGCTCCTTTCTAGGGAGCCAGTAAAGGTTGAAAGTGAACCTGGTCTTCTGAGAGATGAAAGCTGATCTAGGTGGATTCTCAAAATTCGATTTTCACAGTCTCCTGAAATACAAGCGCTCTTCGACAGCCGTGCAAAGCAATCACGCATGTGCACTCACGTGTCTGCATGCACATACATCATACTGTGTATACGCACGTCGGGCTAGCACATGTGAAAAAATAAAATCTTGAAAAGTGTTTTTTAACGACACACACACACACCCTGTTGACAGGGTTGTTTCTTAGTTCTCATGGGTGCAATCAAATCCATCCCCAGAGAGGCTGCACTCATCTGGAGAGCAGGCCTGTACCGTGCACGGACGCATTGCAGCTGACTTTGACGCTTAGTGGTCGGCCATCAGTCCACTTAACCAAGCAACACTCCAACCGTACATGTGTGTTAAGAGGTACAAATGTGACTGAGTGCTTTGGCTGAAAGAAAACAGCTCGGTATCATGAAATAAACAATGGCTTACAAATGCTACCTGTATGTTGTCCCATAATTTGACAGGTAGAAGAAAAGGCAAATATTCCGTAGTGGCACATTTGAAGAATGAGAGAGGCCACAGCTGTGTTGCGCAGACAGTAAATTGAACTGAGTGAGTCCCAGGCTTGTAATTTCACAAGGCTCCTATGTGCATAAACATTCTCTGAATGATCTTCATTCCAGGCAGTATTACTCCTCACAGGATTATCAGCTATGAGGACAGATATATTAGATTGTAAAAGTGGCTTAAATGAAATTCAATCTGCCTCAGGGCTAGACCTGCCTTTCCTTTTATAATAAATAACATGATGGGGGTTGTTCATTTATTACCTTTGTGGGTGAGTTAAAGTACTTACTCCTCTGTGTAGTAATCCTTTCACCGGTGATTACAACTTGAGCTACTATGCCTGCCTTCACTACACAGATCCTTGTCTCACTTCTTTGCCTTTTCTCATCTTTTTCCTCCAACCTAGCAGGAAAGTTGTGAACAGTCTGTGTTCAGCCATGTCAAGGGAAATTATGGATCAGGTGGCCGGTGAGCTGTCAGTTGCACCAGCTATGAGTTCATGCCAAAAACACTGCAGGCATGCCCTGGCACATGTACACACACCTCCCGCCTCCCTTACAGAAATACATGGTTATCAAAGCAACTGAGGCCCTCATCCTCAACCACTACTAAGCCCCATGTGTTTTCATCCAACATTACTTATTCACTGAAAGCAGGGAAATACACATATGGAGACCCATGTTCGAGTTTATGAATAAACAAAAGAGAATACATGCATATGGTGAGCAGCTTCCACCTCCTCTGATCTGGAGGAGCTCCAACATGCCTCAGTCCAAAGTGTTTGCCGGCTTTTTACAATTACATGAGGGCACTCACAACTCCTTCCCTTTCTGTAAATCATCTCATTCACCGATGATTTAATTCAAACAGCAGGGTAGCTGATAAGACAAAACAAATCTGTACCACAAATAAGTCAGCAGCCCGTGAAAAACTCTAAAAAGTCCCCTTAATCAGCATCGGTTTAGTCGCCATTTTAATGTGATATTTGCCAGAACATATCGATTAAAACTCAGGTATCCAAGGCCAGAAGAGAAGCGAGAAGCAGTGGCACACGATGGATAGCGACAGGACACAGACGGGGAGGAAGAGGCCAGTGGCCCGTACGAGGCAGGGTGTGATTTTAACACATGGAGCTCACAGTCTCATTACAGGCTTCAGGTCTGAGGAGCGCAGGGGTCAGATCTGATCCAAACCCACACTGACAAGTGCAAATGGGATTCTGCTGTCTACCTCAACAGTCTCCATCCACACACCCCACAAGCACACACACACACGCACTTTCCCCCAACACCAACCCCCTCCTACTCTGACAGACATACTAAAGCATCACCTTGTTTACATAAGCACAAACACACACACATCCATTCACACACATATTCAAGAACACTGAGAAGCCAGCCTGGCAAAATGAGCTTTACTCCTTTGTGTGCGGAGCTCTTTCTGCTCTGCATTTGCTGTCTGTAGTAACAGCTTCTCCTCTGTTAATAGTTTGGAAGTAATGCACCTCCTGAGGTGGGGCAATCTAAAACCAATGTTGCACAGAAGACATCAGAACCTTGCGCTAACTTTGTATGGTATAGATAAGAGCCACTAACCTCTAAAATAAATCTAACAGTCATTACTCATTTTTGCCCCCAGTGGAGCTTGCATAAATTCACTCACGTGATCACACATTTTCCAAACACAGACATAAATCTAGCCATGCACATGGGAGCATAATGTGGGGTCCGGTGGGCTGCGTTGATTTACACAATCACCTTGATGAATCACCCTATATAACCACTCACAGAGGAGAATAGTTTCTATTGTTAAATAAAAGGCCTCAGCAGAGCCTGGCTGTCTTCTAGATGACCTATACACTCATATGAAATGAAAGGAATAAAATCAGTGACCCAGGAATAATTACACACGACCTGTGATGTCCTGAGTGAGCCTGAGACACAGCACTGCAAAAGACCCCGAGATGCTCGAACCATAGAAACTTCAGCCCCCTATGACCCACAAACGCACAAACAACTTCTAACACAAAAATGGTCTTGAGTGGAAGGGCACGGGATATTTCCAGTGTGAATGTCCATTCATGTAAAAGGAAACCACGAAATGACCATGTTTCCCGTACTATGGAACCAGCATGTGCATTTATGCAACCGTCAGGCAGGCAGATCGCCGAGCAAAAAAGAGGAAGGTGTTCTTAGAAATTAAATATGAAAAGCATAAAATATGCAGCCAGCTCCCACTATGCCAACGCTGCCTCTGACACAGGCTTTCGCTGCTCTGTTCCCACCACATGTTTTATTCAAGACTGATATTCTAAAAGCTGAAATAGAACAATCTATTTTCCCTCACACTCCTCACTTCTGATTTACTGGTGAATATTTCAGAAGAATGTCAGAAAAGACAGAGAAACTCCACTCCGCAGGCCAGCGTGCACCTCACCACTCCCTCCGCCCTCCATCCTCCCACCGCTTTAAAAGACAGCTACGCGATCCTGCTATCAGACTCACTTAAGCAGCAGATATGCTTCATTTTCTACATGATTTAACAATTTCTGGAGTGACGATTCCTAGGCAGGGAGAGGGGAGTCATTGGCCCAGAAGTGGAGAAAAGAGACATACATGAAGAGAGAAAAGCAGACAAGACTCGTGATATGAGAGTGGGAGACGTATCCATAAATATCTTTGAACTTAAGCTAACCACAAACAAAAACTTTACCTTTTTTAAGCATGGGGTTTCAACATTTACAAAGGGGAGCATATTTATATATGTATGTGTATATATGTATATATACACATTCATATGTATATATATATATGTACATATATAAACAAGCAGGTAACTAACTTACGGACACATGTGAAAGGCACACATCTGCTCCTGCTCTTTCCAGTCCCTCATGCCTATTTATACCTGACTGGAATGCCAGTGAGTGACTGGATGCCTGACTGACACACATACGCACAGCTTTACAGGCAGGGCTATTGTTCTGTTTCTGTCTGGAGCAAAGTCATGTGTACCACAGACAAAAAAAACAGCGGGGAAAAAGTAGGAAGAGAAGACAGAGTTGGTCCGTTACAAGTGCACACGGATAAGGAAGTACAGGGAATACTCACAGTCGCTCAGTGTTGCGGGGGATATTCCTTGGCATGGTTTTGAGACCCAGTCCGTGGCAGTCTACTGTGGTGCCGCTGCAGGTACACAGGGCTGGGCATGCACTGGCGTTGCCAATGGTCAGGGCAGACAGCATCAGCACCCACATCCACTGCCCGGCCAGACTGCCCAAGCTGCCTCTAAGGGCCATGTTCACCTCCACAGCAGCCTGCTCTTCTTCTCTTTCTTCTCTCTGTCCACCTATCTTTCCCTGCTTCTGCTTCCAACAGTCTTACTACACTTCGCAACTCTGTTTGATATATGTGAGGTAAATATGAACAGAAAAAACTATGCCAATAGTTAGTTCTATTCCTTAAAATCCTGAATGTTCTCCTGAAATTCTTTTGATGCTGGTTTGATATCCACCACAGTTTGCTGGTATGAAAAAATGCTGGTTTCTCTCTTTAAGGTTCTCCTTGCAAACTCCTCTTCTCTCTTGTCTTTGTGGAGTTGGTGCGCGCTGGTCTGCACACGTCTGTTCTCCTCTCAGTCAGTCCTGCTCTGCTCTGCTCGCCTGAAGAGAGGGAATAGGCAAAGAGCAGAAAGGAAAAAAAAAAGCCTGTCTATCTCTCTCCCTCTACCTCTCTCTCACACACACTCTCTCTCACACACACACTCCAGTCATCCATCACAAGGATCTACAAATAGCAGAGCCCCCGACTCCACCCCTGCCCCACCACTCCACCCCCACTCTTCTCCCTCCTCACACTACAGCCCCCCCTCAGAACCCTGACTGAACTCACTCTCATTCCTGAGATCCCCCCTTTTATTCCCCTGACTCTTTTCACAATACAAATCTACTCTAAATATCTCTCCTCTCCTCTTTTTCTCAGGTTTGCCTCCAGGCGCACCCCTAAAGAGAGAGTCCTAACTTGCATGACACTCCACAGCTCCTGCCCTGGGGGAGAGGCTGCGGGGAGACAGAGCTGCATGCGCGTCTCAAGGAGAGTCCTCAGGGGAAGAGAAGAATCAACACTTCAGTCCTGGGAGGCAAAAAGCCGGAATAAATAATCAGAAAGTGTGGCCACACAGACTGAGACTGCTACAGGGAGCCAGGGGAGAAAGAAAAAACAAGCTTTTTTGTTCATTTTGTCTCCACAGATCATCTATTTGTTGCACAAATATATCATTTTTAAGCACGGGACTAGTTACTAGAGCTGAGATTGCATTCGGATGTTTGCAAATGAAAAGACAAACCCTTATATTCTTACCTGCTCTGTTATTTGGATTTATGAGAGCAACTGGAACATAAGCCAGTGTTTGATGCTCAGACCATGGCTTCCTTACTTTAGACCACGAGCATAAAGACACGCTTAATTCAAATTAAACAGTTTGATTGTAGCTTCCAAGGAAACTTTTCCAAATTAATATTTGCAATTCATGGACTTGCAAATCCGTTCTCTGAATTTAGGTACTAAACTCCTATGTTTGCAAGTTCAGGTGAGTTTACATTGTCATGAACACATCACACTTTTCAAAGGTCTCATATTCCTAGTTTTAAGTATCATCATTAATCTCATAAACTGTGCACGTAATTAGCTTTAACCATAAAGCCTCGCCTTGCCACGGAATGAAAAGCATAGCATTTGTTTAGTGTCATTCAACATGGCTGTTGACAAGATTACAATACAGTTTAACTTTAAGGTAATAATTTGGTACCGTGTCCAATAAGTACTTTTACCCAGGTTTTAGTCAGTTCAGCAGAGCGTGTCTGTGACTGAATCCAGCATCTGCATTATGAGCAGCAAAAAATGAACAACCAAGAAAGAGTGGGGATCTTTAAAAAAAAAAAAAAAAAATTAAGATGGAATCAATTATATGATTTTGTGCGCTTCTGTCTCCTTTGTTGAATACATACATCTAAATCTGTACGCAGGTGCATGTACACATAAAATGATACAGGGAAAAAAAGCTCCATTAGTCCCAGTAAAAATGTCAGTACAATGTAGAGTAGATCTTCCCTCTATGAATGGCTAATTAAAGAGGAGACAGTGGTGTTTAGTGGTAATGGGGGGTGGTGGCAACATCCCTCCGCTCTCACAGAGCTGTGATAGGAATGCTCACAAATACACAACAGAATTTATTCTGCAGCTCTGAAAAACGTGGGAGGACACGGCAGCAATTACAATTGTCTGGCAAAGTAGGGTTTACGAAACACAGGAGCTCAACATGAACGGTCTGCCATGCCGAGCTGCAATTAATGTGAAATATAAACCCCAAAAAACCTTGTTGCTACTGAACCCGATGAAGTAACCATCTCTCTAGTTCAGATCCAAGAAGAAAAAACACAGTCAGTTATTCCAAATAAGGCTAGAAACTGCTCGTGGCTGAACAGAGGAAATTAATCTCTTTGGTCCTGTGTGCTCGGCTCGATTGAGACAAAGAACTACGGGATGAATTTAGTGTTCAGAAAATTCCACATCATGCCTCTGAACAGTCAGGTCTGTTTAAACTTCACTGAACTGTGCTAACAACAAAGGGAAAGAAAACTGTCCAGATCCTTGAAAATAACAAACCAGCACACTGGTATGCAAGAACCTTCCAACCAGTGTTACTCTTTCAAAACAAATCATCTCTGATGAGGTTTTTTTACATATATATATCATGACCTGATTTAACTTCTAAGTGTATTTTAGTGTATAGACTTAAGGTTACATCCATTCACCGAAGCACAAACATATGACTGTGGGCACGCTGAGGGAATGTGAAGTTAATAACAGTTTAAGCAAGTGATTTTACAGCCATAATGCTCATTATGGATTAGATATCCTAAATATAACTTCTCCCAAGTTTCAGCCGTAAAACAATACTCTTCCCATTATGGAACCTGTCTACTGTTTATTTAGAGAACATGAGAAAAAGCAGAACCATTCCTGCAGATGTTTACAACGTATACTTACAATACCAAGCATGCATTGACATGGACACCATAATGACACGCTGAGACATTCCTGCTGTTGTGGAAAGCGGACTTCACTCTTACTATATACCCACTGACCCCCACCCGAGTTTGCATTCCCTCTCATAGTTTTTCTTACCATTAGTCATATTTTGGTCCCGAGCCTAAAACTGATGTAAATTTCACTTTTATTTGCATCCCTTTCACCACCACGACCTACAAAAATTTACAAGCAGCTTACCGCCCACTTGCTGGCTACAGGGTATTGTTACCTACGAGATGATGGAAGACAATAAAGTAAGAGAGATGTGGAAACATAGTGACATTCATAGTCTTAAAGGGGAAAAAACATTGATTTAAACCACTTTATTATAAAGTTGCACATATATGTCAGGTTTAGAAAGAAGTTTTATTTTCCTTTTTAATCAGAGTCAGATATTTCATTCTATACATACACATTAGCACAGTGGCACACAGACACTTCTTAAACAGTCGTCTGATCCACTGGTTCGACTGACTCAGAGCACAACATGCTTTTGCAACTAAAGAGCATCACCTTGTGGCTTCAAATGAAACGGCATCACACATGTTCAGGCAACACCATTAAGGGCACTACTACAGAAACATTAATAAGGTTTCTTTCATTTCAGAATTAAACACATTTTAAAGCACCTTTCCATAACTCGTATGGACTCTTACCTTGATTTCTTTGTTTTTAATTTTATATCTCTGACATTACAGGTATATAACCCTCTGCACTTTTGAAGAATCCCCTCCATTATAGATTATTTCGTCATCCACGCGTCACATTAGGAGTAAAGATACCGAAAAATACAGTACTCACAATAAGTTAGGGATATGGTGAGAGACTCAGTTGATTTCATGCACACAGTGTTTGTTTCACTTCAGAAATTCTTTGGATAGATGGACAATTGTATCCTGGTGATAAACACACTTCCTTTTGTGTTTTCCACGTAATGGTCCTACTATCTTACATATTGAAGCCAACACCATAAAACTAAAAGACAACCTTTTTCAATGTGGCAACAATATCAACATTCTGTGGCTATAAAAAGCTGGTTAAATCAGTAAGTTACTCCAAGTTCATCATACAAACGGCCTTAAAACCATGACGTCACTTAACTTACGAGCTGTGCCACCGTGGCCATATCGCTCCATCACGTCGGTGGCGGGCAGTCAGATGCTGCTCGTGAACTTTGTGTGTCTGAAAGTATCATTAGAAAGACTTGCATGAGGACACAGAACAACTGGCAAAGTTCCTGACAGACCCAGTAGTGGAGCCCCTAGAGTTAGACTGCAATGATGACCAGTACCCAAGGACCTTTGCACTCAGACATGGTTGTGCAACTGCAACACAGCTGCAGGCCCTTTTACGAGATGTGAGGGGTTCTAGGGTTTCCAGACAAACCATTAGCAACCAGCTCCACCGCTCTGGTTGAATGCCAGGCGACCGTTGCTGGTGACTCCAATGACACCAAGACACTGCTGTGAGTGTTTGCAGTGGGCACAAGGCCATGTGACCTGGCCGATGCAGCCGTGGTCTACTGTCCTGTTCACTGATGAGTGTCGGGTCACCTTGCACAGAAATGATGGTCGGCAGCATTTCAACTTTCTGTTCATGGATGATAATGCTCCATCATATCGTGCCAGAATTGTCACAGCTCGACTTTAGGAAGTCGGAGTGCCTCGTATGGTACAGCCAGCAATGTCCACTGACCTGAACCCCATGGACCACGTCTGGGACCAGAGACTGGAGGATCGTAGCCCAGCCCCATGTGACCTGGCAGACCTGCATGTGGCACTCGTGGAAGAGAGGAACGTTGCCTCAGAACAACATCATGAGGAGCATGAGATGTCACTGTCATTGCAGCACATGGTGGAAACTCCAGCTACTGACATTGTCAAATTTTTAAATATTTGGGGCTATCCTTGTTATTGTCTAAATTCTAAATTGTTGTTTCTTTTCATTCATTATTGATAACATCAAAGGGAAAAGCCCTTATGTAATTAACAATATGCCTAACTTTTTGGAAGTACAGTAGTATATAAACATCCCCATAAGATTTTGAATAAAAAACTGTTACAGAACATGGTCTGATGTCTTTTAATTACAGTAAGTTGCATAGCTTCACAGTAGCACCAGTATCATGTTTATATCAGTACACTACACAGGAAGTGTCACATTAGAATCAAACTGTAACAGTTTTACATACATCAAGTCCCAAGGTGGCTTTAAAAGTGGTAAAAGCTAAATTTCTCAGAATGTCTCCAACATAAAATAAAGCAATCCTCTTTGGAATTTAACCAGCCACTAAAACTTAAAAAAATAAAAAAATAAAAACTAGCAAAAGTTATATAAAAAGAAAAGAAAACCATAGAAGGCGTAAAGCCAAAAAGACTATATACAGTGTTGCATAAGAATCAAATCTGGCCTGAGAAAAGACTACATATAAGGCTCCCATAAGTTCACATAGTTTTCACAGTAGCATAAAGAATATTATTCTTGTAGGCTTTGTGCAAAGGGGGAAATTTAAAAAAAGACAACAAAATACATGAAATGCACAAGCAGGTCTTTGTTTTTTCCCCTCAGTATTTACTGCCCATTTAACCATGGGTGGAGGAACTCTTAATAATAAAAGCAAAAGTGAAAATTAAAAAAAAATTCGCAAATACAAACTACATTTCACAATAACTTAAGATATGTTGACTTTAAGGCACATGTCTGACCTGACTATGTTGGCTTGCTCTCGAATTCCTATGTAACGCCCAACTCTTAAAAGCAAATGAAGATTAGGAAAAAAACCTGTACGTCACAGTTGTCACTAAATGTGATGGGAATGGTTCAAAGGCTTGTCCAAATGACTGATAAACAAATAAATACAATTACAATTCATAGTTAAATAAACATGTTTCAGCGTAAATGTTCAAACTAAAGATTCCAAATTTCTCTTTTGGTTACTCGTATTAACTGCATCTGGCATTAAAGTGGACACGAAACCTAAACTGACCTATATTCAAGCATGGCAGCAGCCTCTGGTATCCTCAAACAGCAGAAATGTGCTGCCTAACTAATAAACTGCAAAAGGCATTAAAGTATCCCTCCTAAAAAAAAACAAACAGAGGAGATGAACTTCTGAGGAATACGAGGCATCTGCTCCAGATGATTCTAAAAAGATCCCAAAAAGAAAGCCCAACTGGTGGTTTCACGGTTTAAGAAGCAAAATCTTTCAAAGACAGTTCAATCTGCAGGACGGAGAAGAAAAATAGGAATAAATAAGAGGCATCAGGCATCATTAGTATTGTAAGCAATCTGAAGCCAGATGTGCTTTTAGTGTACCAGACAAAAATCTAAAGAACTAATAAAACTAATTAAAAAATAATAATTTTAATTTAAAAGGAAGAAAGCTAATGAACCAGACACATTCTTCCACTTTAGGGAAGAACCTCTCACTTTTTAATGAGGGTTTAAAATTGAATTCTGTTTTCGATCTGATTTCAGAAACCAGAGACAGCAAGCATCTGTCTTTACTGGGCCGTTCAGAAGAAGCAGCGATACTCACCGCCCTCCAGCTGGTGTGTTCTCTTCCACCAGTTCAGGAGCTGGATGGGAGTCTCTGTGGTGTGCCGTTTTCTTTCTCTGTTAAGATTTGGCTTCCCAACACCTTCCGCTGTTTAATGGAAAAACAAAGTAGAAGATGTCGATATTTTTTGGACTTGAACTGTAAAATATAGAAATATTCCCTTGCATTAAAACACTGGCTGATTGTGTTACTACCACCTAGAGACAGAAAACATTTATTTAATTAACTGGCTGATTTAATTAACTGGCCACAAAGGCAAACACTATCCAAACACACATCAGGCATCAGCAAACCTTAATAATTCCCCCCAAAGAGCGCGAACGCCAGTGTCTCCTGATGAAAGGCGTCCGGGAGTCTGCTGGAGGCGTCATCATGGGCTGCTTTTCAAACTGCAACACACAGGAAGGTTGCATCACGTACAGGTCATGAAGTTGATTTTTTTACCTACCTCACAATGCTCACACCAAGATACCTGTCTGATAAGCTTCTTCTTCTTGGCCGATTCTGGCATGTTGTTGACCTGCTGGTAGAGCTCTCGCAGGGCAGATTCGGTATAAGTCTTGGACGTCTTGGCGCTGCAGGGGCTGCTGGTCTCATCCGGGACTGTTTTCATGGAGGGAGGAGAGACTTCTGCTGTTATCACATCCAGAGGGCCATCTCTGGTCCCAGAGCAAAGAGTGGAGTCGTCCTGAAAAAGATTAGTTGTGTTTGACATATCAGTAAAACCAGTGCTTTTTGAAGAATTCAGTGCAAACATGTGAACAAACAGATGGCTTTTAAATCCAAGCTTCTCATATATTTGCTGCTTTTACATAAACAGCACCAAGGACGAGCTTTAATGGTTATGTTGGAAAAAAACAAGACAAAATGACTTACGCTTGACTTGAGAGTTTTTGATCCGGTGAAGTATAAGCGAGCATATTCTTTCATATATACAGGAGCCTGCAAGCATATACATAAATCATATTAAACTTTTCATTCCATCACTCTTGACATAAAGCATAACTTTGTGGCATGAATTGTGTCCAAGGGAATGCTTCCTATTCTAAAGAAAATAAAAAATGTGCAGGAATTTAACTGAACACATATCTCCGTGTCAGCTCTTGAAAAAACATATTTGGCATTGTAAACTTACTGATAGACAAAATCTTGCATGTGCCTGATTAGGATTGAACATTAAACTTCACAATTAAAGTTCCAAGAAAATCCCCAGTATCTGAAAGAGGCTGGTTATTATTACTATTAGTTTATTATCGTTATTAGTTGTTAATAAAAATGCCAAGCTAAAGTGAGTAGATAAGAGACAAGGCATCAGGGGGAGGCTGCTAAGAAGTTTACCTTGAACAGTTTTTGGGAGTGCCTGATGAGGAATGCTATGCCGTTATTTAATTTCTCTAGGCTTCCCTGAAGATCACTTGTCATCACCTGCAAGAATAAAAGTATATGAAAAGATCGTTTTGCTGGGAAGATTTAGGAGAAAAAGTAAAGCTGCTGTAAAGTTGGATAAAACCTCACATTTTTGGGCCAGATGATGTGTGGAGCAAACATTGTGGCTAAGTTAATAGCAGACATCTTGTTGACGTGCTGATTGCGAGCGGTGTGGTGTAATAGGTCCAGCAGAAGCTTTAACAGGCTGCGATTGGCTGCCGGGAGCAGCATGAAAAGCAGCTGAAAGGCCTCAATCTGGCGCTCTTTATCAGGCATGTCCGTTTTTTCCCCCTTATCATCAAAGTAAGTCAACTCTGGACAAAGTAGATAAAAGGATTATTACAAAACAGCAACAGGCTCACAACTTTATTTCCCCTCCGATATATTATGTGAATCTCAATTTAATTTAATCCTGGGTCATGACAAGAATCTGTGAATGAACAAAAACCTCCAATCTTCAGGTGAGCTTGATAGTGTCTGTGCGTAAGCAGAGGCTCTGGCAGCTCTCCCAGGTAGGCTTTGAGCAATGTGGCTGCATCATTGGGGTGGAAGTCGCCTGTCTCCAGATCTATCTCAGTCCCTGCATTCAGCATTTCCCTTAGGGCCGCCTGCCTCAAGCTGTGGCCCGGCACACGGAACAACCCCTCCACATGAAGGTCTGAGGAGAAAGCAAAAGGGACAAAAATGACGGAGGGAAAAAGAAGAAAAGAATGTGAGGCAGACAAAGACAAAGCAAAGATGCCAGAGATGGGGTGAATAAAACTGAGAGAAGTTCGAAGGAGCAAAGTGCTTTCAGATGAATAATTGACTGAACATTCGCTGTTAGTTCACTTTTAGTGAATGACATCATTTCTTACTAGAAATAAACCATGACTTCACATTTATTCACTGTGGTCCAGCACATGTAGCTAAAGAACAAGAGTATATTTCTGTTATAGACACATAACTAATAAAAGTAATACACTGAATAAAACCTGTTAAGATATCATAAAATCAAAGTTATTAAGGAAGTTTTAGGATACAGAAATAGCTGAGGAATTTGCTTCTTTCTGGATATTCCACAAGTGTATCTAGTCATTGTATAAGAGTCTGCTTGAATAATAAACAAAACACATTAGGGATACTCACTTTTATGTAGGTATTCTATGAGCTGATAGATCTGAGCTATTCCTTCTTCAGTCAATGGTGCTCCAAAAACAATTCCTTTTTCTGAGAGGAGTTAAGTGACAGTCAGTGACGGTCATTTTTTAAGCAAAGCACTTAACTTTAAGACACAGGAGAAAGTGGGTAAAAGTGGGTAAAACCAAAACTAGAGTTTTAATCAGTTTGGTCCTCTTTTTAAGACATGGAGCGTAAAATCTCTTTTATGAATACAAATAGCTATTCTATTTAATTCAATCTAACATCCAAAGTGAGACTTTGGATGTATCGCTTAGCTCTATAAATACAAAAACAATCATGTCATTAAGGTTACTGAAGTCTTTCCTCCTTGATGTTGGGTGAATAAATACCAGAAATACTAGACCATCACAATGTGTTTTTTTACAGTTGTTAATACTTGCTGTAATACACAGGTCCAATATTTTGATTTAGTCTATGTTAAATAAATTATGACATGTTTTGCCATGTTATATTACATTTCATATTACAGTAATTCAACTATTCGTAATGTAAAACTAATGTGAAAATTGTTTAGCATCTTACAGACAAAAAAAACCCAAATTCTGTTTGGTTCTATTAATCGGTTTTGAGGATGTGAGGCTGAAGTCTCAAAGGATATGTGATATATATTATTTGTAGACAGATCAGGTGTTTTATTATACATTGTGACCAGCTTTGTTGATGTCACACCAAGTCCCAAAATATTTCACTCTAAATTCACTTATCCTGAAGAACAGACCATGGTTGGCCTTTTTCCTCTTAAATGAAATGCACCATACATCATTCATGTGTAAAATGACTGAAAAAGTGATTCACACGTATGGTTCAGTGAGGCTAACCTTTCCGTTTAAGGAAGTTGAAGGAGCGCAGAAAGCCGCTGGAGGAGGGCACTCTTGGCTCCAACTCTCCAGTCAGCTGGGCAAATTCATCCCCTGGCAGATCGATGAGTCGAGTGATATTACTAAGCACCAGATCAGTGAAGGCCTGTGGATGTTCATGTCTTAACCTTTCCACAAAGAAGTCCGGGTTAAAGATCACAGGCTGGTTTGCGTTTGGCTTTTCGTGATTGAAGAGCACACTGCAATTGGTCTCCCTGTTAGAGACAAACATACGCGCCAAGACTTGGTGAAAATACAAAAAACAAAAATTGAAAAGACTGGTTTCCCACATTAAGACCTGAAATTAAGCTTCTACGTGGCCTGGATAGTGGAGCAGGTACAGTAAGTGAGGGGTTGCTAGGGTAATTAGCTCCGCCAGCTATGGCTAACGTCTATGAACAGTTACTGTAGCGAAACAGCCATTTGTCGTGAATAAACATACCGGGAATGCTATTTATATATGGAAGCATCTTGACGTTTTTACTTGACACTTAATCAAAATTCGGTACCTTCTGTCCAAACGGTGGTTATTTTGAGGTTCAGTTTTGGTCGTCATGTTGATTTTGAATCATCCGCAGTTTCATCTTTTGCCCCGCCCCCAATATTGTGATTGGTCAATATTAACATACGTAACGACAGTTAAACCACTCAAAATGATTGAAATTGAAATAAATGGGTGGGTTCAAAGTTTTGAAAGGTACGAGATGTACTGTACCTTCAGGGGTAGTGAACCCGGGGCAGTTCTTCTGGCTCATATATCTTTAGATTTTGTGGTTCAGTATTTTAAGTGCTTTAAGTTACATTTCTTTTTGATGTACATGTAACTCTCCTTGTATCTCTGACATTCTAAACTTTATGATGAGTGCACTAGAGAAAATCAACTTATCTGCCTGCTTAGCAGAAGTGTTTGCTCATAATATACCTCAGATACAATTCATATTAATTTATCACAGTTCTAGTGAAAACACGTTTCCTTGTACATACAGTTCCTGCAAAACAACAGCGTGACTGCTAATCTGCTGAATGAATAAGATAAACAAACAGAAGTTTGTTAAGAAACATCCAAATGTGATAAGAAATGTATGGATGCAGATCCCAGAGGATGGGACATAATGTCCCCGCAATTTATGAAAAGCATGAATTGTACAAGATGAATTATCTCACGTCTACCAATTAGAAAAAATGTATTGACATTAAGTTGTATCTGGTATCCTCTGAATTTGCCTCATGAACGGCACAGGTGTTCCAACTTAGCAACCAGTTCATTTTACCTTCAAAAATAAGATTCATTAATTTGATGCTTCAGTTCTAGATTCTATATTCGAAGCTGTATCTTTAGAGAACAAATAATGTTATCAGAGGAAAGGCATGATGATTAGTTAGAGCAACACAATTACTAATCCATGTGTGGGTGTCACAGTTAAGGGCACATAGCTGATTTTAGGCATGTAATAAAAATCCAATAGAGAGTACAGAGGCTGAGATATAGGGGACTATTTGAAGCACCAGCACTCTGTTAGTTCTACCCAAAATATTTCTAATCAGAATCTCAAAGAAGAAAGGACAGAGAGAGTGTGAAATTTCTAATCAGAATCTCAAAGAAGCAAGGACAGAGAGAGTGTGAAATTACTTGTTCATGTTGTGTATAATTTTTTTACTCGTAAATATGAAGCCCACCGCTGACAACTGACATTTCAGTACTGCCAGTTATCCGGTTCTATAGGTAAAGGTCACCAATATCTGCAGAAAACCCTGCTGATTTATTTCAAAAGGGAGAAGAAAGAAAGAAAGAAGAATACAGTGACTGTAATTTTGATCAATATCATGCTGTTCTCATGAAGTTCAGATTTAAACTAGACTCAAAGTATCAGACCTGCAGTCGGTCGTGCAGCATGGGTTGTGTTGCACAAAGAACAGATTTCCACAGCAATTTAATTGACAAACAGTTAATATTGTTGTCAAATACTCATATAGCGTGCAATCACAATTAAATACCATTTTACAGTCGTAATAAACACTCCAAGCCACAGACTTTATATACAATATAGCCTAAGGTATGCGTCTGTCAATGGGCTATATGGTTGTGTGGGGGTTAGCACTGTTGTTTTCCAGCAAGTGGGTTTCCGTTTCAAATCCCCAGGAGTTTGGGGCCGTTCTATGTGGGAGTTTGCATGTTCGCTTTATTTATGTGATGGTTATTTCTGAGACCACCAGCATTCTTCAACTATCCAAAATAAAAAGCATGTTAGGTTAATTGGGGTTTCTATTCTGCCCCTAGGACTGAATGGGACTATGTGTGGTTATTAATATCTGTGTGGCCCTATGAAGGACTGGTGGCCTGTCACAAATTTTTTGTGTGACAAATTAATAGATGACTGAATGTTGGATGTTTATCTATGATGGCAAATTCACATTTTTTCAAAGACAGTTAAGCTCAATCCTAATGAATGTTTGTAGCAAAAGAGGTAATATGTCTCACTGAGGCTAATGACAGCTAAAACCACTTTCTTCTCTTTCTTTTTTAAGGTTAGTGTCTTGGCATCACCTGCTAATGAGACTGTAAAATGCAACTTTCATATAAGCCCACAAACTGAAATAAAAAGCTTGTTTTGTTTGCTTATATTAACAAATCTACACGTTACAAACAGTGGAAAATCACATTTCTAAGGAAAATATTTGTTTCTACTTTCAATGAAAATATACAATTTTACAATTAAATATAGATCTAAGGTGGCTTGAGCAGAAACAGTCAAAACATCATGTAACAGTACGTTACTAGTACATTCCACATCATTAGACATTGTAAACATCCATTAGGTATTTACAAAAAAGTGTCATTTTGGCATAGGGAACTGGAAAAGAGTAGAACAGATTTCAGCTCTGACAGAATGAAAAGACAAAGCACTAATTTTGAGGGGGATTTTCACAGTTTTCTGCATGCCCCTGATAGGGTTCGTTTTCTGTGAATCTATTTTTGTCCATCCTTTCCCCACTGATCTTCTCTCTGACTGTTGAGCTCCGGTCTTCACTAGAACTTCGACTTCTCAGCCAGGACATGCCACGGTACATAAAAGAGCAGTGAAGTCTGAACCTACCCAAAGTTCTCCAGCATGCCCTTCGAAATGTGTGGGAAGAAATGCAGAAAAGCAGCGGATCCAGGGCACCATTGATATACCAGAGAGGAAGCGACAAATAGGATTTCAGAACGGTGTAGACAGAAAGGACTGTGTCAGACCATACCACCACGTAGACCTGCATCAGTGAAGAGGCAATGTCTGGGAAGTTTAACACAAAAAAAGCCACCACCACAGCACCTGGAAAACAGCAGGATATGTTATAATGCTTTTTCTACCATAAGAAATTTTGATTTTGTTTTAGAATCGGTAGCAGTATTTATGTTTAATGTCTCACCCATGAGTTTAAGCGCTCTCTTTTCATTTAAAAGTAGCTTTCCGTTCCGATGGCACTGGATATCTCGTCTTCCCTCCAGATTGGGTCTCATTAGACCCATGTTTCTCCTTTGACGACCATTCCTCTTCAGGTAGAGCAGAATGAGCACGTATAGGGTAAAGATAGAGACCATTGGGACCTGTAGTCACAGAAGTTAAGTTAAGTGCCTATTTTTTATGCATCTTAGTCGAAATAATCTGTCCAACAGCAATAAATTCACCACAAAGAATAATCCAGCTCTCAGAAGTAATGCTCCTTTGTAGATGTGTGCAGGATCGGGCTCCGTCATCTCACACATGGTGGACACTTTGAAGGCGTCTTCTGGTGTAGTTGCTGTGTAGTCCAGGATACAGGCGCGTGCTTGGTCATAGACCAGAGCAAAAGGCACAGCTGAGACCAGAGAAACTACCCATACAGTCAGAAGGCACGGCAGCCGAGACTTCTTTTTAGGAGAGTGAGAAGAGAGGGTATAAATTCAGCTACTATATCATTTCAGAAATGTTACATGGAATGCTAAACATAGGCAGCTTTTGATTTATATCATTTTTTTTCAACAAATTCCTTCACATCTGCATATATGAGAAAACATATTTTGGTAGTGTCAGTACTCAACCTTCAGACTGGAGACGGACCACATTGTATGGCAAATTGCTGCATAACGCTCAGTTGTGAAAGTCACAATGACCCAGCTTGTAGTGGCACAATACACTTGGCGGACCATGAAGTAGACTTTGCAGACGGCCTGGCCAAGGCGCCATGGATAACTCTCCCAGTAATACCGATATAAAGTTACTGGAATGGTCAACAACTGGAGAATGTCTGTGTTAAATGCATTGGAAGAGAAAGGACTTTATCAAACAAATGTATATATACATGCTGTATATATGCGGATCTATATATGCATACATATAGTTATTCATTTCAATGAAGAACCAGTTTTCGTTAAATGGTTTGTTAGTTTAATTTATTTCAATCGAGTGGTGTCAGTGCTGACTTCACCAGAGGTAAACAGTAGTGATATTTACCTGAAATAACCAGGCTGAGTAAGTACAGACGAATGGCACTGACTCTCATATGAGCATCAAAAAGAAGAGTCAGTATGCTGACTCCGTTGAACAACACCTGTAAAGGAAAGGTGAAAGATTGCTTTAATAAAAATCCTTTTACTATAATAACCACTGAAAAATAAGCACAGGGACTTCATTTTTATGCATAGCATTTTTGTTGTTGTTATATTACATTGAGTGGTCTCTTAGACATCGACATAGTGTTCTTGTCAAGTACTACATGAAAGCAAATTGGCATACTCCAAGCAAGAAGATGATGCTGTAGAAGATTGTCATAGGAACAGCGATCAACAGCGGTTCGCTTTTGGTGACACTGATATCCAGCTTTGGTGTCTCACTTGGACTGACGTTACAGCTGAAGAGGAATGAAGTCTGCTCTGAGTAGTTCATGGTGAGGCAGCCTGACGATATCTAGACGGATGATTTTAAGAAAATGTGAACAAATTCAAGCAGTGCATTCGGTAAAGTAAAATTAAAGGATATGATAGTTCAAACATTTTTCCACTGCACAAATACATTTAAAAAGTATGCTCAGATGAAATGTTGTTGGTTTTATTTATTTACTTTTAAAATAAGTCATCAGTTGTATCATCAATGGTCTCGATGGCATCAATCTCAAAATAAATTCTGCATCTCGGCTATTTTGTACAGAGTTGCGCATTAGTAGCTGGAAATAAACCTGTGGGTAAAAAGGAGGAATCAATTTGTCACCTGTTTTAAATCCAACTTTATCTTGAGTGACTATATAAATCAAATACAGGGTTCTTATAAATCTGAAGTCTGAATTAAGAAAATAATTATATACATACAAGAGCATATTGTCATATACAAATTCAATCCCAATTCCTTTTTTCCATTTCTTTTTAGCAATAATAACCAAAACCAGTGCATTTAGTCACAGATGATTGATGCAAAAGCTAATTAAAAAAGAAGACTTAACACATAGCTTAATTTTGTCATTGTATACCTAAGATACATTTTAGAGACAGTTTATGTCGGTTCACTCCCTCCAATCTTTGACAAAATCGTGTATAGTCTGTGAAAAGACACTCTCCCAAAGAACTGAGTAGGGGTTACAGTAAAACTTTAACAACATTTCTCCATGCTGTTGCAAATCGATTTCTTGAATAAGCAGCAGACATTTCAACGTGATCAGTGCAAGAAAATAGATTGTGTCAGACACGTCTGAACGTAGAATGAAATATAATACACATTTATATGAAAAATAGATTGCACAACTGAAAAGTACTCATTTGCAACCCATTTTATTTTAAATAAAAGGTATTAGTTATGTTTGATAGTATCTAATAAAAACATGTGCATCCTTTCTCCAAGAAGAAAACCTAAATATCTGAATGACAGAATATTCTTTTTTTATTGCTAGCACATCTTTGTGCTTAAAGCAGCACTATTCAAGAATGTTTTTAAAGAGTATCTCACCTTCTTTAGGATAGAATGCAGGACAGATAACAGCAGCTCTCCAAACAGAGAAAAAATACACAGCTTTGATCGTGTCCCTTCTTACTCTTCAGCTTTCTCCACCTCTTCCTCTCTCTCTCATCATACACACGCCCCCAAGAAGAGCTGGCAGAAAATCCAGCAAACACAGAAATTTCAACGTCGGCAGCGTGTGTGCAAGACTATGATCAGAGTTTTTTAAATGTGAGAGAAAATATGAGCAATTTTTCAATGCCGTGCCCAAAAGCCTTCATAAGTGTGATACAAACTAAACTTCCAAAAGCTCTGTAAAGTATTGATAACATGGCACAAACTAGATTAATAGATCCTTCAAGATCAGGAGTGCATGAGCCTTAGTCTTTCTGAACACAAAAATAACACGCGCAACATTTTCTATATTCATCAATATTCATTGCAATTGATAGCCATGATCTTTGTAAGAAGGTGTGACTCTTTGGTGAAGAACACTGCAACAAACTGAACTCATAAGCAGTCCAGAGAATGTTTGTTAAGTATGTCAGTGAGGGACCATTAATCCCGAACCATATTCAAAGGTTTTGGTAAAATGCTGCAGTCTAGATTATATACTTATTTCATTTGACAAACCACACACAGCACACATCATAGATTTATGACACGTTTGTTAACAGATTTGACAAAATGACAAATGAGGTCCAGAAGTGTTCCTTCAGTTTCTTAGCAGCACAGTTAAAACAACAGGTTATGTGGCAGAGTAGTGTATATATAACTATCAAAAGATTTATTTTAAGTGTTTCTTATTAAATATTTAAAATGAAGAATCATTTTTCCAATAGCATACATAACTGACTTTTTTATTGATATTAAAAAAACATATCAAGTTAAAATAACGAGTTTAAAACCTCCCCGAACCTTTTAGTAGAAATTGATACAAAGGGTCAAACTGTCTGTACAGCCATCATTCATCTACCTGTCAGGTGTCCTTATATTGAAACTTACATCAGTTCAACATTTAGATTGTTATGGGCTAAAATGGTGTTGTGAATTAAATGAAATGTCCCTTATGGAGAATGATTGAAATCTCATTCAACCTTGGCTTGGCACACTGGAGCTGAGAAGACCAAGATTTCAATGAAGGATTGCTACATGCTAACAGTACATGGTGCAGACCAACAACATTGCTGTTCAGTTTAGAACATTATGCTAAAGTAAACAATGGTCTGAAACAATGTTGGCATATTTAAAAAAATCCACAATGAACGTTAATGCCTGCTTCCTTAAACAGAGTTCCCTGACTGCAGGCCACAGCAGATAGGGTATGAACTATTGATGTACTTACCACTCAAAACAAACATAAACCATCCATATTTCCACAACATATAAAACATTTTATATAGTAGGCTTAAGTCCCTTTAAGTTTACGCAGGCTGTCATGTCTCCATTTTTAGTGTATATTCTGCTGGCTGCTTGATTATTATTATTCTTAGTACCTGGCATGAATGCTGTAATTCATATCTGTGATACCTTGTACTCAATCTTAATAATAAATTTGCCAAACATGCTTTAAGAATACTTACTAAAGATGGTTGATATAAACATTTCCGAATACAAGTCAAGCAAACAACATTGTACAAGGAAGTTACAAACCAATGTTGGCAGGAGCATCTACCATAAGAGATTGTTAGAGATAGATAAAAGGATGAGTCAAACATCTGACCAGAAAGAACAGTGTTTCTGTGAAAATGTAAAAGACTCAATCAAGTTTGCATTTAGAATGACACAGTTAAAAATGTATACAAAGTCAAACAACTCTTGCTCCTGTTGAGCATTACCTCAGAAACTATTTTTATTGCTCAGATACAAAAATGATTTATTTTTACAGTGCAATTTCTTCATATGGTTTTGTATAAATACAATATTTTTAACAAGGTGTTTTTAACTTTATTGAAATGACACAAGAAAAACTTTTTTTCGTAATCAAATAATGCTTAAAAAGTCGAAGACTGCTAAATTACAGAACTGAGATTTCTTCATGCTTTATTCCAGCATCTTTTGCCATAGAGTAGAAATGGCCTTGTTTTTCCAGCAGGTTGCTTGGAGAATCGAATTCCACAATTTTACCTGCATCCAGCACCATTACCCTGTGGTGGACAAAAAGAAATGGAAATAATAACCCACTAGGCAGTGATCAAAGATTGATAAAGATTGTAGTACACAGAAAAAAAGAAGAAAATATTGGAGAATTTAAGAAAAGAAAGAGTGCTGTTTCCTTTTGTTCATGTTTGTGTTTCCAGGTGCTGCAGAAATGACCCGTATATACAGAATAAAACTAATGAATACACAACTCTTTCCTTTCCTCTTGATCTGTAGTGCTACTTTCATATCCAGATGAAGCCTCTGAAGACTTTGAAGTCTAACAGATCTTTTCATGTTTGATTCCTTTGACATATTTGTGCACTGAGGCTGACTTGGACCTCTCACCTGCTTGAACACCTGATCTTAAAATGTGATACTGAATCTTATAACAATACAATAACCCATTGTTTGGAACTCAAAAAGAGGACAAAGATCTGGAAAAAAACAAAAACAAAACCGATGAAAATAAGGTGGTCAATGATATCCCAGTCTAACAAAAGCGTACTTTACAACACTAAAAATAACACGAATTTAACAATGAAGTCAATGACAGATGACTTAATGGTGATGCAATGCTCTCCTGAGAAACACTGGGTCTTTGAATTTATGGGGTTGCAAATTTGTTTCAGACCGTGCCCACCCCTTGATGAAGTGGCACTCACTGATGGCAGGATCATGCTCAGAGTCACAGCACAACACACTCTGGCACAGCGTCTTAGCACATGTCAAGGAGGCCACGACACGGGCCAATCCATCAAAACTCCCCAGAGCCTGAGCTAACTTGGCATCTGCAGGATGTGCCTAAACAGACCTGGTTACACATGCCATCCTCAGCAACCCATATGACTGAATGTAAGAACTTCCAAGATCTTGGAAGTAGGAACTTTGAGAGCTTCATTCCTATGGCTGTATTGGGTCAGAACTACAACGTTTGAAGTGGAGATACGTCAGCTATGGAAATGACACGGCAAAATAAAAAAGGTTCAACATTGGAAATAACTGTCAAGCCCAGTTTTTATGTCATGAAATACATTAAATAGGGCAATGATGGACTAGGCTTATTTTGCATTTAGAATATTTTGTAAAATAATTGGTGGCAACACCTCAAAAAACAACACATATTGAGATTTTCTTTTTGTAATGCTTGAGATTCTATCCCATCCAGCCATTCAAACTGGCATAAATTATTAGCAAATAATTATTCTCAGTGGAGTCTTTAAAGCTCTTGAGTGGACACCTCGCAATGTGAAAGAAAAAAGAGATGTTTGGGAATGAGGAAAGTGTAAAGACATCAACTCAAAGCCGTCTGAGGGACACTGACTCACCTGGAGCTGTCCATGATACTGTGCAGGCGGTGTGCAATGGTGAGGACAGTGCAGTGTGAGAACTCTTTGCGGATGGTATTCTGAATCAGGTTGTCGGTCTCTAAGTCAACAGCTGCTGTGGCCTCATCCAAGATTAAGATTCGAGACTTTCGGAGCAGTGCTCGAGCCAGACACAGCAGCTGCCTCTGTCCAACACTGGGAGGAGAGGGACACATGTTGATCTCTCTTTTGAAACACTCAGTCATGGAAATATGGACTCTATACACTATCTAAAAATACACTTAAGTGAAAAAAAGATCCATGGATGATGTGAATGCTTTGGACTAAGGCTTACATGTTCTACGAGCAGCTAGGGAATTTCATCCGCATACTTTAAAGACAGGAATTGCAGTACACTGGATTTCAGGTTGTTAGCAATGGTTTCCACATAGTTACACATTCGAAGATTAGCTGAACATGCAGAGCAAAACTAGAGTGCAGTTTGAGCCCATTACTTTTGTTTATATAAAATCTATTTATTTTGGAAAAGCATTTTTTCTGAAATTGCTCACCTGAGGTTCTCTCCTCCCTCGGCAACTTCATGCTGTAATCCTTCTTGTAAACCCCCTACATAGTCCTTCAAATGAGACAGCTCCAGTGATTTCCAGATATCCTCATCACTGAATCTGTCAAATGGATCCAGGTTCATCCTCAGTGTCCCGGAGAACAGAACAGGATCCTGTACACGCAGTGTCGGAGAGGTCAGAATATTGTGTACAACTGGAAGCAGAGTCTGCCTTTTTTATGATTTTTTACCTGTGGAATGATTGTGATCCTGCTCCTCAGATCGTGCAGTCCTATTGTGGAGATGTCTATATCGTCAATGAAAATGTGTCCTTCAGCTGCTTCGATAATTCGGAAAAGGCAGTTTGTCAGGCTCGATTTTCCGGCTCCTGTACGGCCCACTATACCAATCTAAACGCAAGGAGAAAAAAAATAAAGGCACTGTGAAACCCAAAAGTTCTTCAAGAGCTTCAATAAACCTCCTGTTCATGGGTGTAAATGGAAGATTTTAATATTCTAAGACACATTAATAAATGCTGTAATTTGGGGCTTTTATGCTTTAACTGAAAGTAATTATCAGCTTGGGAGAGATTTAAACCCACATGTTTTTTGCATTAACTTCTGAGAGAAACTGCAGCATTTCTCTAGAGTGCAAGGTATTTCAAGGGTTATCATCACCTTCACAATACCATTGATTTCCTGTATCTGAAAGCTAAGATTTCTTCATGTCTTATGCAGTAACTTATGGACACAGGAAAAATAAAATCAGAGGGGAGTCAAGACTGATCTACCCTGGGAGTAATGAGATACATTCAACAATGCCAACAAAAGATACTTTTGACCTCTTTTTTCACTATAAATAAATAAAATATGGAATCATTATACTCCCCTACTACTACCACCAGCTCTGGTCATTTTTATGTCTTTTGATGTCTGACCATTACAGAATACTTAATCATATGAAATTCCAGCTAAAAATATGAGTGTATCTGTGATTTTCAAACCAAAGTTTTCCCTATTAGATATAACAAAAATAGAAAAAAATTATAAAATTTGTGTGATTGGACATTCTAAGTCTGCATGTAATTCACCATTGAGATATATGATTTTCACTTTGATGAGTTCCACTATATTTTTATGCACATGTACATAGACAATGTCAAAGACACACACACACCTTCTCAGTGCTGGCTATGTCACACGTGACTCCGTGCAGCACCAGGTCTAATCCAGGTCTGTATCGGACCTTATAGTCTTTAAACTGTAGCCTTCCAGCATCTGGCCAGTTCTGTGGAGGCCGGTTGGAAGTTATCCACTGAGCCTGTTGAAAAATAAAACAGGGCATGCATGTTATAGTGTATTTCTCCATAATTTGATGGTATTAAAAAACAAAGCATTTCAGAAGATAATATGTTTATACACACATTTATAACTATTTCTGACAGACACATAATTTTAGGTTATCTGATGCATTTTCTTTGTAACTCGGATCAAAATCTGCATGTTTGGTGCCGCTTCTCTACGATTTGTTCACACTACTACTTGTCTTATATCAGCTCCCTACCTTAAAAACAGACTGAAAATCCACAGTATGAATACATTTGAAGGGATTGCTATTTATTTGACATTATGAATGGGACTGTGTCAGTTATCACATTTTGAGTGTACATGTGTACAGTTTATGTCATCAGCACAAATTCAAACACACCTCATTCTCGAGCTCACTGTATTCGCTCACTCTCTCGACAGCTACAACATTGGTCTCCAGCTCTGAGGTCATCCTCACCAGCCAGTTAAGGGTTTGTGTCACCTGCAAAGTTCGATCAGTAAAGCTAACTCCGTTATATTGTTAGCATTGTCACACTTATTATCCCCACCAGAGTAATATCATTATCTTATAACAGAGTGTGTTATTCAGTGACTTACATTAAGTGCGTAAGATATAGACAAGCCAACCAGGCCGCCATCTATAGTGTCTCTGGAAATGACGGCAAACAGAGCAGAAAAGAACACAACAAGATTTCCCAGGAACTCCAGACGGATGGCCACCCATCTGTAGAGTAAACAACCAAACATGCAAACTTAGACAAGAAGTAATAAGATGGTGTCATTTACCTGTGCCATGTGAGAGACACTAAGAAAATAGGTGGGCTGTGATTAGATGTGTTGGTACCTGACCTGTTTGACACAATCCATGGGTAGACGCTTTTGAGATTCTCATCGACGGTAATTTCATTGTGTTTGAGAAACCTTTCTTGATGACCGTAGGCCCTTATCACTGACAGACCAGACACAGTCTCCCCAAAGTGCGAGTATATTGGAGAGCGAGACACTGAGTCCAGGCGGCGCAGCTGTCGTGAAGTGGCCACATAGAAGCGCTGGGTGAGAAGAAGAGAGAGAGAAAAAACATTTGAATATAAATCATTTATTAATTGTTATCAACAATCAATCATCAATCAAGTAATTATCAACAATCCGTTTGTGTTATTTCTTACTTTTATATGATTTATCAAATTATGTATTGTACATTTAATACTCTATCTTTGTTTTTTTCATTTCAAGTCAACATGGAGGAATCAGCCAAATTCCATGAGTAAAAACAACAATAAGCTGACTTTGTTGTTTCAGAGGTTGGTGAATGCACTTGGTAGTGCACCTGCCACACTTGAGCTTTCCTTTGCAAAAACACTAACTGCTTAAACACGTAAAAGTTTTGCTGGATAGTTTTTACAGTGAGAGTCTTCCTCATTTTGGTAAGACAATCTTACATCATGCCTACACATTACAACAGCATAGCACCAGCAAGAGATTCTGTGACTTGTGCGGAACAATCTTCAGTCATGCCAGAATGAAAGTAGTTTCCGCTTTTAAAAAGACAACATTGGATTTCATTAGCATACAGTGATGTGGAAAAGCACCACCTATCTCTGCATTAAAAAAAAAAAAAAAAAATTGTTTTCGAATTATACCCTTGAATAAATTGAAGTTCTGTCTTTATGAAAACTCTAATGCAAATAAGTTTTAAATTACATGGATCACATTTTTAAATTACATGCTGCAGTTTATATTTACATTTGATATGTGCCTCAACACCTTTATTTTTCCATTGTCTAGTCCTTTTAATGAAAGTAGTATTTTCTTTCTTTCTTTGCTTTCTCAACAAGCTTACCTGTACAAAAAAGTAGATCACAGCCAGAGGAATGATGATTATGGTGAAGAAAGGAGTGGCCAGACAGATCACAAAGAGAGTTCCTATCACACCCAGCAAGCACAGGAGCCAGGAACGGAAGGACTGAGGGATGGCCTCGTCGATCGCGAAAATGTCCTTCAGGACCATTGAACACAAAGTTAGTGGTTTTCAAAACTCATGTTATCAATACTGAAAGAGTATAATGTAAGTGTTTTTATTCTTTCCCACCATTAAATACCAGCTTAACAACTGTGTGAATGATCTGGATGTCTCACGTTTCGCATGTTGGTTTCTTTTACTATTCATAAGTAACTCTCCATCCCCAAGAGACTGAGGTTTAAATGTTATGCCTTTACAAGTAAAAGACAACCATCACATCATAGAGACTCACTATAGATACCCTCAGTTATACATAATACCACCATTTGATCTATTGCTGTAAATGTACTTGCAAAGTGAAAGAAAAGGCTTACCTTTGCAAAGCGATTGACCACTCTTCCAGTGGGTGTGGTGTCAAAGAAAAGCATTGGGACTCGCACTATGTTGTTAAGCAGTCTCGAATGCAGGATACGGGATGCAGCAACCGAGGCATTAGCAAGGAGAAAAGTCCCCAGGAAAACAAAGAGACCTGCAAAAAAAGAAAAGAAAAGAATTTTTAGAATTAGACTTAAAATGAAACTATGTAAATCTTATTTTGGGGCATAAAAATGAAAGTACTTCAATGATGATATTCTGAAGTTGGAAAAACAGAATCACTTCACTTTCCGTAGACAGAGTAATTACAACAAATTTTCAGGGAAGGACGGCAGTAAGATCAGTTATGTTCTTATTCTGCTTCAATCTGTGAATTAAATCTAGTTCCTGATATTGGAAAGGTAAAATCTCACCTACTGAGAACCATAGTCTTTTGGGCATCAAAACAAGGCTTTTCTCTGTTTCTTATTTGTAGCTATGGTAACAGTGTATTTGCTCTGCGAGATATGGCTCTGTTAACTGCAGCAGCCATCTTATTGTGTCTCAGAAACAGTTGCCTGAGATGTTTTGCAAATCCATTTGACTACTAAAATTGATCAGTCCTAACAATCATTTGCACAATGCAAGAAATTGACTGAGAATTGTATTCTTTTTTATCTTCTTATTCAGATTTAAATGTTATTTTATTTTATTTCATTGTATTTTTCACCATCTTGCATAAATCTAAACAACACTTGGTTTTGCAATGCAGTTTTATATGAAGAGTGCAGTTTCCATTGTACGTAGAAAATTAGGAGTATTTGCAATATAATAAAGAGACTGAATAAGAATTATGAATTCGACTGACAGAAAAAAATGTCCATTGTAGCCAACGTCTTCATAAACTGTAAAGGTCTGTCCATTTAGAATTTAAAATACAAAAGCACAATGCAGGATGAGGTGGGGGCAGGGCACATTTTACCTGTGGCACTGTCTTCTACTTTACGATGTGGGAATCTAATCATATTTTTTTGCATCATGCCCATTGGAACTTACCTTTCAATCCTCTCCTCAAAATTAACCTTGAATTTCACTGAAGCATTAAAGAAATAATGGCATCTAATGACGTAAGACATTTTTCTTTTGTCTCGTAATGGGTTTGATCTTTAGCCCATGAAAAAGAAATTAAGTCTTGTTTTTTTTGTTAAAGGTCATTCTTTATTTAAATAAAATCAAACTTAAATGGCTGAAAATAACTGAGTGATTAATGACCCCAAAGGTTTCGTCGTTGGGTTAAATTGTGGTGGTTTGTAGCATGTAGAAACTCTTTTGGCAAATAGAGGAAAAAAGGATTGATAGAAGTCTAAATTTGGTGGTAAGTGGGGATGCTGGGGCAGGTTTATCTTCTCTCACATTTATCATTTTTAACCAAATATTTAAATTTTCATACTTATACTCTGATTATTATGTAATCCAGCTGTTTGTGGACAGAATATTTGAATTGAATAATTTAATCTTTCAGTTGCTGCCATCTCAGTTTTAAAAAGCAGGTTTATAAGTTTTCAATCATAATGTCACCATACAGTCGTTACTCCGAAATTAACTAAATAAATACTTAGAAACCAACATTTTGCAATTTAAAACTTTTCCTTTGCTGGTTTGAATATGCCAGTTTGAAAAGGAAAAAATCCCTTATTCAGAGTTTAGGAAATATTATTTACATTGTGCAAGATCAGTAGAAAAGACTAGCACTTGCCTTTCATGATTTTAAACCATCCTTGACAATAACTTACAATTTTTGTTCTCCTAACATACAAATGGCTAAAATACACACATCAAACACACTTGTCCATGTCCATGTTGTTGGCAGTAAAAGGCTTAGGACCATTCAACAATCTTCTTGAGCTGAAAATGATCCTGAACTCTCTGATAGCTGTTCATACCACATGGACACCTCCTGACTCAATGCCACAAGTAGAACCAGTTCACAAACTTCATAATATTACTGTAATAAAACATGAAAGACTAATAAAGTTCCACAGACCATGAAGAACAATACCATTACAAGGCAGGAAATAAGTAAATGAGGGTTCTGGCCAAAACTAATTATTTCAACAATAGCTGACAAGCTTTAAAATATAGAAAAAAAACAGGTTTGCTTACCTTGAGCAATTCCAAGAGCTCCAAAAACTGCCACCCTGGTGTCCCTCTTCCAGGTAGGGTATGTCTTGTTAAAGTAATCCACTGCATCATTGGTCCAGTCACTCAGCCACAGGTTCTGACCGATGAAGGCTATGTTCTGGATTATGTAAACCACTAAGACTAGAGTAGCATAACCCCAGCCCATAGCCCGCAAGTACTGGAGGAACACTGAGAATTTGACCTGCAAATCAAGAGAGAAGACAGTCAGGAAACATGTTCCAATCCTAAAACTTTAATTACACATTCATGGTATTGAAAAATCCCAAAACATAAACTTATGATACCTGTCCCGTTTCCATGGTTTCTTTCTCTATCAGTCTCTCGCCTTTATTCACAACTCCAACATCTTCAGATTTTTTCAAAGTGCTATTTTTTCTTAATCTGATGCTAAAAGAAATGACAAAGTCAATCACAGTTCTTACATGCTTTATTTGAAAATGTGCAATGTATTAATTCAGTGTTAATTCTAAATTAACAGAGTTTTGCTTTCTATTGTCCACGTTTCCTTTTGTGTCATCCACTATTAAAGTGTGCTCTAACCTGCTCCCACGCTGGCTACGACGAATGCTGTTCTCTCTCTTCAGTGTCAGAGAAACTGTGTCCTCCAGTGGAGAGTCTAGCTGAGAGTCCTCTAGCTCAGGAATGAGTTCTAAATCCTCTGTAACTTGGTAACCATCTGAAAGAATTTTGATATTGTATACAAATTATATTCAAAGATATCTGACAAACAACTGCAAGATCAATTTTAAATGTGTCAAAATACACAATAAATTGGACTATTTCTATATTCTGAATAGAAAAAGGTAGGGGGCATAATTACCCGCTTCAGAATTAGTCCGATTGCTTTGTTCTTTGGCATATGTGTCAAGAAATTCAGAAAAGGCTCCTTTGCTGGCACGCAGACTCTTATAGGATCCAACCTCAGAAACCTTTCCATCCACCAAGACCACAATTTCATCGACAAAAGGCAGGAAACCGACTCCATGTGTCACCAGGATACGAGTCTGTGAAGACAAAAACATGATCACAGTTTGACTACCAGATCCCTGGATTGTTTGTGTCTCCATGATGGCATTTGTTAATATTTAGTTCAGAAGATTCAATTTGGTTGAAAGATATAAAAACTTTGCAACAAAACTTTGATCCAATTAATTTTTTGCTTTAATGATTTTTTTTGTGAAATGATTTCCCATCATTGTTTCTTTGAAGCAAAACGGTTCGGTAGGAAAAGGGCTAACCTTGTTTTTGAGGAGTCCTCCGGGGCCAATAACATGATCAAAGAGATGCTTCCCAACGTGAGAGTCCACCGCAGACAGGGGGTCATCTAGTAAGAAAATGTCTGCCTCACTGTAGGCCGCTCTGGCCAAGCTGATACGCTGCTTCTGACCCCCTGAGATGTTTATACCCTAAGTAGAAAAGAAGGGCAAAAGAAAATAAACCTTGTCATTCAGCCATCACATGCAGACTTTAAAATTTGACCTTCACATCGTGTTCACAATTCAATTGAGAACTCTCGACAGCTGAACTTACTTTCTCTCCAATCTCAGTAAGCTCTCCAGCACCCAGCAGTTTCAGATCCGGAACAAGGGCACAGGCCTGTATGACCTTTTGAAACTTTTTCTCCTCATAGGGAGAGCCGAACAAGATGTTATCCCTCACAGTGGCATTTTGAATCCAGGCTTGCTGTGGCACCAGTGCAAGGGAGCCCTGCATAGAAATGCATGTTTATTTACAAGACATAAATTGGCCAAACAGCTGACATAGACCATTGTAAATACATGTGAATTCTTTCTTTTTTATAGTGGTTTAATCCCTCATAAAAAGGCCAGTCATTGGCTTCATTACTTAACGTGAATGAAATAAACCTTTGAACTTTTTTTTACGATAATCTGCTTGTCCTTGTCACAACAAATAACTTTGACATTTCATTTAGAATTAAGCTAAATCTTTCCCAAATTACATTTTCTTTATCAAACATTGCGACAAACAGGTAAGACATAAGTAGAGTGTCACCTGGATGTTTATGAACCCTTTGGTGCTGTACATCTCGCCCAGGAGCGCAGAAATAAGTGAAGACTTCCCTGAGCCCACTGCTCCCACCACTGCAACCAGCCGGCCAGGCTTAACGTCCAGTGACACACTGGAAAACAAACACATGTGAAACATTTTGAGTGGTGTTAAGAAAAGTGTATGTTTTTTTACAGATAAGCTACATTGTGCACAGGTAATACGATACTGTGTATTCAAAGCATACCTTTTCAGCAGAGGATCAGAGTCTCTTTCCCAGGAAAATGAAGCATCACATATGCTGACAGCAGAGTCTGATAGAAAGACACAAAAATGACTTGAATCAGATATACTGCACATGTACCAAAAAAGTGTTGTGAACAGGCATAGCTGCCTGGCAGAAGAAAAGGTGGAAAAGAATAACTGATGAAAAAACTACCAAAACTGGGGTCATGCCGCACAACATCACTGTCAAGATCTTCCCCTCCAAGAAACTTCTCCAGCCTCTTCTTTGACACTGTTGTCTGGAGAAAGACAAAGGCTTCCATTTATTCTATTTATATCTAATGCGGTCTAACGGAGCATGGGGTGCTGTTTTCTTACCTGCACAATGGCAGCGATGAGCATGGGCAGCATGGCCAGGGGAAATCGGAGGATGTTGAACAGAGAGATGGAGGTGAAGGCTTTTTCAGCAGTCAAGACATTGTCTGAGCCTACGCTCACAAACACGGCAAAAGTTGTCAGAGAAACCTGTAAATGAAAAAATAAGATAGATTCATTCAAGCTCGGTCATGACCATTCTCGATGCAAACTCTCTTTGTTAAACCCCTTCTGACGACTCACCACTGCTGGGGCGCATGTGAAAATGAAGGTGGAGACGGATGTCAAGTAGGCAAACTTCTTCATAACGTTCAGTTCTTGACCCCTAATGCCTTCTACTTGTGCCTGAAAGGATGGCTCCCAAGCAAACAACTTGACAATCTAGTGGAAGATTCAGGATAAAGGAGACAAGGGTTTTATGGGGTACATGTCAAGCAGTACATGGAGGGGGAAAAGTATTCATATTGTTTGTCCCAAAATCACGATTATTGAATTTGACTTATCAAACGTCAAACATTTTATTGAGGCAATCATTCCCATCATGTGACACAAGAGCACTCACCTTTATCCCATTGAGCATTTCGTTCATTATTTTCATTCTTTGGTCTTTATACTTCATGTTCTCCACCTGAAAGCATATTTCAAGCAAATCTTCAGACAGATTTCATTTGAAAGGTTTTCTTCAACAACAGTGGTAGCATGTTTTACATTCTGTGTGTATTTTGTGTTGTTTGTCCATTCTATGGTAATCTCTGAATATGGGGGTGTGTGACTGCCGGGAGTCACACAGCAAGAAACTCAAGGGAGCCCTCGTGAAAACCAAAAAGTCATGTAACATTCAGTTACTAAAAGCATATTGAAGCACAACTTGTATAAAAAATAATCTATCTTTATGGTCCAAATATCTAGTAAAACAGCAGTTAAGTATTCAGAAAGATTTTGTTTTTCAGGAAACAGTCAATGAGGGGATGATTGGCAGCTAAATTGCAAAGTAAATGTTTTTGAGCCTGGGCTCAGAAAATGGAGTTATTTTCAGACTTCTACAAGGATAGATGATGAGCAAGCCCTACAGCGCTCACACAAATTAACTGTAATTTAATTTAAAAAGCATAGAGGTGCTGGGCTTCTTGTTACTAAAGTACCCAATGTATACTTTCTAGTGCACCTTTTCTTTACAGAATTTATTGTTACTTATTCTTAATTTGATTATATGAGAGGTTAAATATTCATTCTTAAGCATTAAAGCATAATTAGTTTACCATTGTTGCTATGCAGACCTGATGTCTATATGACATGAACAACAACTGTCCTATATCATAATTCATCATGCTGACCTGGAATTTTCTGGCCTTGGTGGCTAAAAGTGCATTGACTGGCCCAAAGAGCACCATCACTGCCAGTCCTGCCAACGCAGAAGGCCCCAACTCTACCCACAGCAGAGCGATGGCTACAATGATTTGCAGAGGGCAGGACCACAGCAGGTGGATGAAATTGGTCACATCGTTGAAGCGCTGGGCATCTGCTGACATGAGGTTCACCGTTTCACCCACTGTTGATTCTTTTCGGGCATCATTAGACACCATCATTGCCTGAGAAAGAAGACATAAGGGAAGACGGGCAGAGTAAGAGGGCAATTTAGAGGGATAGTTAAGTAACAATTGAGCTAAAATTGCCTTAATATAGTGACAACAAAAAAATTTTTTTTTTTCTTTAAGCTCAGAAGGTTTGACAATTTTAAAGCAGCAGGATTATCTTTCAAGCTTTGAAGGCGCAATAATCAATCCGTTCAACTGTCAAAGACTGTTGTTTGTGTCATTTTGCTAAAATGTTTTGCAAGGTGCAGTCCTGCTGGATAAAAAGATATGCACAGCACTAAATTGCTCATGAAACTTCTGCGCTTGCATATAAAATCTCCTGAGGCTGAAAAGGCCACTGGATGGACCTTTTTTTCGATTGCACAGCAAAGACGCTTTCTGCTGTGTACTTCTCCATAATCTCAAGGCCTATTTATTCTATGTATCATCAAATCATTCAGTATCTGCCTTGAATATACTTTCTGTTGAGAAAATGTATTTTGAACGGGGAAATTCAAGTTTTTTTTATGCTCATGTTAATGCTGTTTTTGTCATAGGTCTGAAAGATGTTCTGTTATCATTCTTGTCCATACCTTTCTGTACACAGCAGCCATTATAGCGGTGCGAACTTTCATCCCCAGCACAAAGCATCGCTGGAAGTACTGCTGCAGGAACAGGGACTGAAGGATGGCCACCACCAGCAGCAGAACTGCATATAGATAGCCCTCCCAGTCATAGCTTGATTTGTCCTGAGTGAACGTGATCATCATTCTATGGAGAAAAAAAGAAGGTTAAGCAACATCCGTACATTTTGACGGTGCTTTCATTCAGCCTGTATACATATTGTACAAATCTGTGTTTTTCTCCCCCTGCTTTCGCAAGCTATCATTTTCAAATTTTCAGCTTTCTTCTGATGCTCTGCTGTTATCAGTGCGTGTTTACACTGATCAATGAGTGGTAAAAAGTTAAACTGTGTTTGATCATTCACAAGGTCAGACCGTGTTATTCTAAAAGCTTTGAGATGACTTCCCCGAGCAAAAAGGGAAAAGGGTCAAAGAGTTTTATAAACATTGATGAAAATAAGGTAATACAATTTTAGTGAATAAGGTTGAAACTGCACAAAGTTTTCTAAATACGATGAAGCTAATTCTCTTTGCTTGTGAAAGCATTAAATATAAGGAGTGAAGAACTGTCACAGCTTGATCCTTTTTCAGTCTGATACATTGTATGCTCATATGTGAGAAAAAATTGTTCTGTTGGCAAATACAAAGACTATTGGCTATTCTTAAAAATCCATGAATCTGTGGAACAGGGTATCAGCTCAAGACAAAATACAAAAAAAAAAAAGAAAAGAGGCACATGCTTTTTTGTCTGTTGGGAATAAGCGGTATAGAAAATGGATGGTCGATGGATGGACTTACTTAAGGAGTTGAGGACTGACAAAAGCCAGCATGTCCTGAAGAAGCTTGAAGACAGCAGATTCAATGAGAATCCATTTAAAGGTCTTGTAAAGGGTGGTGACCAGCCATGAATTGGGATAGTCTTGTTCTTCCTTTTTTTCCTTTTTCTTCTTTTTTCCATCTTTTTTCTTTCCCTTGTCCTCCTAGAACAAAATATGCATGGCCACTTTATAGGAAAACATCTAAAAATTCTGTTAAACATGCGGGAAATCTGAAGAAAACTGTGTTTTTTGCTGCATGCTCTCACCATCATCAGGGCGTCCTGACTCACACCTTTTCCCAGGCCACTGGAGAGGTTACTCTGAGATGCCTCCTTCGTGCCTTTACCTCTGCTTTGGACCGGTTTCTTCTTCAGCCTGCTGTGATATTGAACACGAGCTGCACCCAGCTCAGTATGCATGTGATACTGGAAACGCTGGCTGATGTGTGCAGTGCACTCTTCTTCATTCAGTTCCCACAGGTCCTCTTGAACCAGAGGCTGTTTGTAGCCTTTCACCACCAAGCTGGAGAAATAAGAAGAAGCCATGATGAAAACACACAAATGTTAACTTAGATTTTCATTGAAAGAACATCAAGCTTACCTGTTGAACCAATTGAAAGTAATTCTACTCAAGAATGCTGCTCCTGCCTCTGGATTCTTTGATTGATCAAATTAAAGAAAAAGCACTCAGATGTAGTTTACGTGACATGCCTTCAGTTCTGAATTTAACCATCAATTTAACAGAGAAAGAAGAATTGTCGACAGGTACCTTTTTCACATGCTCCCGAGCCTCTGGAGAGACGTCCGCCACAGCAGAGAGGATGAGAGCTATCAACTCCAAACCAAAGGAAATGTAGAAAAGGCAGAAACGAGGCACATCACTGATTTCTCCCTGAGTGTATAACAGATGAGGGAGATTGAGCCGTTAAAACTAAAAATAAGTTCCCGGGACGTTTTGTCCACTCTACATTTTTATTTAATATTTTTACTCATACCAGTTCGAGTGCCTCTCGTAGGAGGGTCTGGAATGGGAAAATGTCACACAGAATGAGGAATAACCAAAAGAGAAATAGTGTTGAAGAGTCTATTCCTTCCCTCCGTCGCAACCCTTCCTGACATAACAGCACAAGGATCTACGAAAAAGACAAACCAGGTTGAAAGATTTTCAGAATTTTTTCATCTTCAGCACCAGAACAAGCAGACATATATGGACTAAAGTTTACCCATGTGAAAGCATAGAGGACCGGGTTTGTGTAGAGTACAGTAGGATTTTTCTCTGTCGAGCTATTTGGACCAAAATCTTCTCCTAATGTGACCGCCAAGCCTGCAATGGCCGTCAGGAACAACAGAGACGTCACAAGCTGTGGAGGAGAAAGACTCATAACTGTTGCTGATGATGAAAATAGACTTGGACCTCTCAGCATCGTAAGGTTAGAAGGTGTGTTTGTGCCATTTTTTCACTGTTTGCTTTACCTGTTTGCAGATGTAGAGCTTGGACAGGTGTTTTGTGTTTACTTGTGTCCTTTTGCATAGGGACATAAGGTGATATGGAGCACAGAGCCATAGAAACCCAAGTGGGATCCAGACCAGAACGGTCTGCTCGAAGCATGGCGGAAGGTCTGGGTCTTCTTTATTCACATATGAATCATTCTGTGGTACACATAGAAAGCACACATAAAAGCTCAGCTTGCATAGTAATGCCATCAACTCTTTGTTAAAAATGAAGAAAGCTCATTAAATCACATGTGATTTAACTTGTGGATTCAGGAATGAACAGTGTTCAAAGACAATGACTCTCAAACGTGTCTATAGGCCCATGCTGTGATGTTTACAAGAGAATCTGGTGCCTAAAGTCCAGAGGAATATGAAAAATGAATGGAAGTCTCTTGCTATGCATATGCATAAACCAAGTCATTTTACAGAGGCATAATAACACAGTCAGCAGTTGCTTTTCTTCCAGTGAATTCCAATAAATTCATTTCTGTGGCTTTTTTGAAAAATGAAAATGACTGCTTGATTAGATGTTTAATGATTAGAATTATATGTTAGCGGAATTCAATCAAAATAATAAGTACAGGATGCTTTCCTGAAAAGCTTTTTGGAATGTTCAGTTAATGTTGTAGACACACTATTCACTAATTTTATGCTTCTCAATCATACTTCATAGTCAAAGCTTTACTTTAAATGCAGTTTCAGATCATACGTCTATGCTCAGTTTTTGATTGCTTAAAGTGGATCGAGTCATAAAAACTGTTTTAATAGACTTGAGAATCAAAGAGTGGAGAATTCTACTGTCACAAAAAGCATGTCTAAAAGGTTTTGCCTCAACTTAAACTTTGGAGTTTTGTCTGTTTTATTTTACTTTTGAAAAGCTTTCGAAATATTACAAGCATCTTATAACACAGCAAGAACAGAGTTGTTTTTTTTATTGATTTGGTTTTATTTTCTTTTGAATAATTAGAGTGTCTTTAAAAAAATAGCAAAATTCAATTTACTTAAATTAAATTGATGTAACATATTCAGATTTCTTTGTCACCAAAAATAAGTTGATGTTATCTTGTGATCGACACGGAATACTTTTTTGTTATAAAAGCTTCTTTCTGTTACATTATCAAATAAATGCAAAGCAACTAAACAGAAAAAGGGGTTAATCAGAGGCAGAATCAGCAACAATGTGTTTTTTCTTTAATAATTACAGGAATGAAGCCTGTGGTTGTATAAAGGTGCACTATGGTTTTTCTGCCTATTCATTCATGTTAAACTGAGAGTCATTACTGGACAGTCACGTGCTCAAAATACGTGTACAGAGGTGAAAACATGCTTGAGGTAAAGATTAACTTTCAATGTGGATGGATAGTTATTTCGATGAGGAGCTTATTTGCATTATTTTGATTATTTTGTCATTATAATCTTAGTCACAGCATTGATATTTGTGTGTTGGGATAATCAAAACATTAAAAAGAAGACTTATAAAATTGTAATTTCAGTGAAAGAGCTTTTTGTATTATTTTTCCCTCATTCAGTTTCAGAGTTGTTTAGCCACGAAACAACTTAAATAGATTCAAACAATAAAAATATCTATTTAGGTCTAACTTTATCCCTGTGCTTTTTTCTGAAGGTCATTTACCGTGTAGGTTGCAGATCAGATACAAGTATATCAAAAACATTGGTCTATTTTATCTTCAAAGTCCACAAGAGAGTTCTTTTTCTCGCTACTTCTTTATCTCCCTATAGTTCAATCTGCCCTGATGGTTGAACTCACCCAAAAGATCGAGCCGCAGTACTCCTCCAGAGGTGCAGCACACATGATCCACTGTGCTGGCTTCAGTCAGCCTTGATGATTAGACAACCAGGCGTCTTTTGCTCTTTGCTCCTACTGACGCTGAGTTTGACTCAAACACTGGTACTTTCTACTGTGTCCACCCCTTTTAACAGACACAATCACAGGATGTGTCTGTGGAGGACTTTGATGTGAGTCTTTTAAAGAGAGAGAAAAAAGTTGCCTCCTCCCTGTGCTGTAAAAGGACATAAGTTAGCTGAAGATGTGCTTGAATAGTGGCAAAGCTGGAGGGACTAATGTCCCTAATGTTCCTCTTCCAATGAAAAAGATCTCCAGGTTAATCTTCTTCCAGGAATCCCTGTTCACTCCGCTGTTGTCGGCAGATTGCACATGTACTGTCGTCCTGATGGTAAAATGAAGGTACTCGACTGGTCTATTTAAAGTCATTGACAAAATGCAAGTCTGCTTACAGGCACTCCGCAACAGTCATGTGACCAAAGTTCACTGCTAAACAGAGATGAGTGTCTGTAAGCCGGGAAAAAACCGAGACAGACAGGGGAGTTGCATAAGTGTTACTGTGCAGTTTTCCATTTGTTAGGAACAGCCCTCCAAAAAAGGGAATGCGTTTAGGGAAAGGGAGGGAGGGGTCTCATTAGACCCCTTTTCCTGTTGTGTTTCCACTTCTCTGCTTGCCTTCAGTCCCTGTGGAATGACACCAATTCTTGGAACAATAGTCAGATTCAATCATGTTCACAGTTAACTTGATTGGATTCATAATTAGGCTGCTGAGGCGTTTGGTGAAAAAACTTATGAAGCGTGTAGGAAACTGCGGTAAGGGGGGGGGGGTTCTCCGCTGGGCTTTTTCCAAGTCTGTTTCTCATTCTGAGCAGGCAGAGGAGCGGACCTCGAGCAAAGACATGCGGTGACTGGGTTAAAAATCAATCAATATTTTGTGGAAGTTATAATGGATACGCAGGGCTCTGTGTCTGTTCATTAATAGTCAGACCCAGCACAAGTAAAGTCATTTTAGGGGCCATTGTTTAACTCCACAGGAGTGTTCGACCAAGAAAAAGCAAGATGTGTAGAATGTCTGCAAAGTCACAGTCAAGCTGTGCTCAGCCACAACTAATATGCATGAATCAATCAGGATTGTACTTCAAGGGTCTGAATGACGTGGCAGAATAAGGCTGCTGCTCTCCACAGAATAAACGCTACTTGTCTCCATTTTGTTAAATATCATGTGGACAAAGATGGTCACAGTCTTTGTTTCCGACAAATGAAACCAAAAAACAACATTTTGTTTTAAAATCTTGTTTGGAGATGATAAAATGTTGCAAAAGGGAAAAAAGAAAAAGAAAAAAAACTTGTTCCATTTGTAACTATTGTGGTGGTAAACGTAAGGTTTTGGGTGTTTTCCTCCATCATTTATAGATCACTTTGTTATGAGTAAAACAACTGCATTCCAAAGTACAGTGTAGGTGTGATTGTCAGTGACAAATCTATGACTGAATCTAATCACTAAATGTGTGAACCAGCCATTCCAACAGAGAATGATGAAAAGAGGAATTAGTTGATTTTTTTACTTCTTTTTTTACTTCTTCTTCAGCCTTACTTTTTTCTTTTACCTTAATATGAGTGCAATTCATTCTGGGCTGTCAGATTTTTGATAATTCATTTTGGGCTCTCAGATTTATGACCAGTTTATTATTAGCAGGGCTAATAACAAACTTGTTAAAGAACATAATGGCATTGTGATAAACCCTGATTAAGTTGTGCTTACGCAAAGAAAATAATCACCGTGAACAAGGCAGAATATTTGGGTGGGGATGTGATTAAGTCACACATCATCCAATGGCCTTGTGTGTGGGAGGCCTTTCCCTACTCATAATGTTCCCTGAACAGTCTTTTCTCACTGTATGGTGGTTAATCATTAAACGCTTGATAACACCACGTGAAGACAATCTTGCTTGACAGCCATGAATCATGTGAAGGCAACAAACGATCAAAGAACCCTGTTAATGTTTTGATTTACAATCGCACTACTGTCATTTACGACATGTAAGAACCTCAGGTAGTGGTCTCCAAACAACCAAACAAGGTGGGGCTTCATTTCATGCTCTTAAAATCTGGAAGTCTTCCTGAAGCGATAAGATGGGCCTGAAACTTTCACAAGTTAAATCCAGGCTGAAAACTGTTCTGTTTATCTGTGCATATAACAACTGAATGGGTTTTATCTTCACTTTTCACTTTTTATAATGAATGATTGTTTAACTTTGTTAAACTTCTTTTTCTTTTTCTTTATTTTCTGTTTCTAAACTCCTTGTAAAGCACTTTGAATTGTCTTTTACATATTCATTCTGCTTTTTAGCTGAGTCAGCGACACCATGACTGACCTTTGCTTAGAACATCACTCACAATTAACTTTAAAATGTCTGTTTCTTAGCAAATAATCTTGAATCAAAATACCTTGTTTTTTATAATCATAGCACTTACATGTTTTAAACATTTAAAATGATTGAAGATGATCTAAACAAATAAAGTCACATTCTTTTGGTTCATGTAAAATGAATTAGGAACAGGAGCACATAACATGTCATCATTATGCAAATTATTATGTTTCACTAACACTATTTCCAGATCAGTCTCAGCATTAATGAAGCATTAGGTACTCAGTCTCTACATTGTGCCTCTTTTCTCCTGCCCAATACTATGTTACTTGGAAAGTGGGTTTATCAAAGTATTATTGGGGCTGATTTTGTCTCTAAAAGGCAGTTGGAAATGAAAAAATGCTCAAGAAAAAATAAAAGATGATACATGATTTTTAACTTTCCCAAAAGCCTTTTAAGTGTGTATAAGGCGCAGGGGAGTATAAATATATATGGCCCCTACTCACGTATTGGGTGGGTGGAGGGGAGTAAACAGATGATATCATAATCTGCACGTGTTTAAGTTATGAGGCTGTATACTTTGCCATGTGATCTAGGTGTCTGCACACAGTAAGAAAACTCTCAATTATGACCTATTTATTAAGCAATTATTACCTTTTCATAGAGGATTTTTAGATAGCTGCTTACAACATATTCACACTGCGAGTGAAATCTGCATGTGAGAACTTAGAAATACCATTTCTCACCAGATTTGTATTACAGATGTGTGTATTTGCACATTTCTTTTCCATTTATTAGAACAAATGCACAATTACAGATTTGTTTGACACAATTACAGATCTTCACACTGGCATTCCTTCATAAATCCACAAATCATAGAATCCCAAACCCAGACACAGACCAACACTATTAATTTTTGTGCTTTCTCAAACATTACTGTCTGTTGGTTCTTTGCTGTGTGTCTTATCTGATTGTTGTCATTGATGCACAATCATACTTGTGAATCATTCACAGCTAAGTAAGATACTTTCATGGACTGTAGTTCCAAAAAGGCTACAGTGTTCTCCCTGAGCTCCAACAACCAAATGTTTGATTAAGAATTTTTCATGAATTACGATAGAAAACACTGTGGCAAATGAAAATAAAAACACCACACATCTGTGTAAATAGTTGTGATAACTTTTGAGGTATTCCTATGTTGCCTGTCACGACTCCCAATCTGTCAGTCACAGGGTGTTTTTGGCAATTGCGTTTAGAGTCCGGACTTTGCTGATGTCTGCCACCTTCAGGCCGTACTCAGGTGCTGAGAAGGCAGCTCCCATCATCACGCATGTGTTCCTGCAGAAAAAGAAAACACCATTAAGACATGTCTTGGCCCAGCTGTGGTAGCTTTAAACGGCGAGAAATCTCCTCATAGAACCTGAACTTCATTGCAGAGTCCCTGCTGGAGCGAGCAGAGCAGTGAAACTCCTGAGCCCCTGAGCCCTCCAGTATTCTCTGCAGGTTCCTTTCTGTGACCCCCCCTCCTATCATGAGAAGAAAGGAATAAGTCAATAATAACTGAGTGAGTAATTTAATAACTAAATATATTAGATAGACAGAATAAGTAGAGAATAATAATGGAAGGCACAAACCTGGCATGACGATAATTCTCCCCTTCGCCTGTTATGTGAAGATTACAAAGCTCAATTAATCAAGCAGTTAATAATACGTAGTCACGTTTTAATGTGTTTGAATAAAAGCATGCAAATGCTTTTACACGCACTTGATCGGTGAGTCGCTTAATAAGGGGAAGCCCCTCCAAAGCAGAGCTGTCGCAGCCACTGGTCAACACGCGCTGGAAGCCCAACGATATAAGGGCCTCCAGAGCAACCGCCGGGTCGTGAACCATGTCAAAAGCTGCCGCGAGATCAATATTACTTTCATGACAAGACCTCCAACAGCATGACTTCTCTCTGCACCCTTTGGGGGCTTTCCTTGAAAACACTGTTGAAAGCCCTCTAGAGGGCCTTTACTCTATTGAGGAGCTGGGGTCTACTTTAACTGCCTGCTTGTGCTTTGAAAGAGAAAAATGTTACCTCGGTGGAAGGTGACGGGCAAAGGACGAGCAGCCGCTGGTGAGCAAATAGTGAAAGAAATATTAATGGCAACAAGCAAACTGACGTAATGGTAAAGTTACACAAAAGAGTTGCACATTAACTTCTTTTTTTTCCTCTGCCCCTCTCTAACAATGGCCGGTTGTTTATACTGTGCTGCATCCTGTACTTCAAATACAACCGCTTTCACCTTGTCTTTCGTTATATTGTTCCCATATGCTGACATGGAGACAGAAATAGTTGCGCCATTGTTAGTTTCACACATTCTGAACATAAAAAAGCACATACAAGTACAATTTAAATTTGAACCCTAAAAGCCTAAAGCTAAAAAACTTGCCATGGTTACAACTAAAGAGCACAGTTTAGATGTATAAAGTCCATCAGGTTACTGACTATGTGCGAAGCATCTTTTTACCATTGTGCTGTTTTTAAATAACACACATACTAAATTAAACTAAATTCTGTTTCTTTTGCGTTTATGGTTTCTCAGCTGCTTACTGCAGGCGGATCAGGTTGTGAGGTCAAAGTGACTGGCCTGCTGAGTCACTGCATTTCATCACAGTGCGCATGACAGCAGTGACATCACCAATAAATGCCCATCGTGATGGACAGATGAGATGTTTTCTGTGTAACAAGGCTTATCTGGAGTTTCCACCTTACAGTGAATCCATTAAAGTTCTGCTCAAGGCAAAATGACTGCATCACTACACAATTTGCCTGCCATCCATTAGTTATAAGAATTGTAACATCCACGATTTTAGTTTGTCATCTGTTTTGTCATTTTGGGGCCGATAAAGGCCTATTGTGTCTAACCTCATTTCATTGTCCTGTCTTGTTTCCTGTTCATATCTCATACTGGCAAACACCAACCTGCCCTAAATGGCCGCTTTACATTAAACTAGAACAACTGCAATTCCTTATAGCAATTAGTTGTAAAGTATTACTTGACTGTGTGAATGGTTTTCCCTTTCCAGTCTGTCAATACCCATTAACTCCATGCAGAGCTCTGAGTCCACCCGTCCGTCCTCGGTAAGAGCTCCCAGCACGAGTCCATCAGCTCCATGGCTCTTCATTAGCTCTATGTCCTTCCTCATCACCTCCACTTCCTGGTCTGAGTAGAGGAAGTCTCCACCACGAGGCCGTACCATCACATAGACAGGGATTTTGATGTACTGCTTGATGACCTGAAGGAGACCTGGGGGTAAAACAATAAGTAGCCCATGAGTTGTCGGGTCTGTGGAGCATCTGCAGCAGATCTGAACTAAGGTGATTTCTACTGCTCACCTAGACTGGGAGTCAGCCCCCCCTCCAGGAGACTTGAACACAACTCAAGCCGACCTGCACCTGTAAGGGGTAACACACTCTTCAGTGCGATTTCTTTTGTTTTAATTGGGGTTTTAATACTGTAAAAGGTCATCTTGGCAGATGTGCTAAATACACGACACTTTTAGAATGGCCATAGTGACTGAGAGATGAAACTGAACTGTTATTTTACGCTTTACCGACCTCCCCGTTCAGCATTGACAGCAGACTCCACGGAGTCCACACACACCTCCATTAAAAAGCTCTGAGCCATTGTGAATGTCTGAGGAAATGAGATGGACTTTAACCTTGTTATCCAACACGTTCACAACGGCTTAGCTTGCTTTTTCTTTTTCACTACCACTACATCTACCTGTTTGTCCTCCTCGTAACCAATAGGTCAATTAAATCACAGGTTAAGAAACTACTAGAAGCCAGAGTATGTTTTGTTTGACCAGCTGCTGCAGTCAGCCATTACAGTTTATTGTCACCGCTTTCCGGGTTGTTTGATTTGTTACACTTGCTGTAGCGAAGTGAGCGGTGAAGCTCAGGGAACCTACTAACCGCCCGTGCGGGACACGCTAAAATTACACGCTGACTTATCATGTCAGTTACAAAACAATAACAAATAACACCCAAAGCTGAATATTTTTAAGGTTTGGTATTTCTTTGATAGAAATATTAACCAAATCGACAAAAGTGAAGAAAAATAAAGACGCAAAACTCAAGTCCCTTTATTTTGACGTCAGTGACGCCGAAGTTGGTTTCCGATTTGTAGATTTCATAATAAACCAGAAAAAAAGAGTCATTTCTGTTTTTGCTGACACCGAGTGAAAAAGAGGCCTCCTTTTTTCAAATTGTTCGAGGCTAGATTATCCAGTTATAAAACATTGAAACTAATGATATTCCTTATTTTTTAGTCGTAGGTTTTCTAAAAGTCAAACACTATATTTTGCAATTTGAGATATCAATAATCTACAGTAGATTTTTCAAATTGAGGTAATTTGTGTTTCTGAAGTATTTTTCAAGGCCTGGACATAATAAAAAGAGTTAAATGAATTGAGGAACAAAAGTGTTTAAAAATATATAAAGTGTTTCAGATATTTTGGTGCAATAATTCATAGTAAAATAAAGTAAAAAGAATTCATAATTCAATCCAGAGTTGCATGATTGTTGTTTTGGGGTCCATAAGATTATTTGAAATAACGCTTTTTCTGCGTTACCTAAGCGGAAGCCTCGAATGGGAAACCAACTTCAGCTCCGTGTGACATCTAAGGTTGGAGCCGGAGAGCTAGTCGCAGCCAGAGGAGCCAGACAGTAGTCAGCAGCCCACTGCTTCAGCTTGCAAGAACCCTCCTTTATTTTCGCATGACCTCCAGCAGACTTTGACACAAAAATGTTGCTTTCATCATTACGGACAACGATTTTTTGCGGTTGCAGAAGTGCTGGAAAGGAGTTTCAACGCAGCAGCGTGAGTTGAGTTAGCTTTAGCCGCTAATGTTAGCCAACATGTTGGATAAGAGAGGAAGCGGGCAACATTATTATTACTGTTTATAAAATACGAACTGACGGGTAACTATTTTCTCGAATTTAAATACTGTATGCAACTTTTATTTAAAGCTATAGGATATGTTAACGTTGAAAATGTGGTTGTATAAACCGTAGTCACGTCCGCATGTTAGTTAACAGCCGAATTATATCACCGACCTCTACCCATGCATCAGCTGTCAGGATGGCGTTAGAGCCAGTTAGCATTCTGAATGGATGGCACAAATGATAAAGACAGATTTATAATTCATTAAGAACGAATAAAAAAAACAATGAGCTTGTCATTAACATTAAGTTTCTAGTGGTGTCCTTCAAAAAAGTTCTCAGGTCCCTTCCAGTGTGACAATGTATACTTGAAGCATTCGCACATCCAGATGTGTGCAGTCAAAACTCTGCACATAGTTCGTGCTAAATGGATAAGGAAACTGATAAGCTTATTTGTCCATTTATTTTTTAATTAATACTTTTTTTCCTGCTCTGTCTGATGTTTACAGCATCGTCGGAGTCCACAGCTGCGACAATGGCTGGTGAAGAGGAATCAGAGCACCATCACAGTGGAGGCGGGAGCCCCCTCCGTCCCGGCGGCCGCCGCCGTGCCCAACGCTGCCACAAATCGCATCCTGGGTCGCTGGCTGCTGGGCTGCAGCGGGCTGGTGGTTGGAGCTGTGGTCTTGGGTGGTGTCACAAGGTAGATTGTGGCTTCAAGTAAAGCTCTTTCTGTAGGTCGTAGTCCACCTTGTATTGTTTTGGTGTTAATGGATGTGTATATATATGCATTTGCTCCCATCAGGCTCACCGAGTCTGGGCTCTCCATGGTTGACTGGCATTTGGTCCGAGAGATGAAGCCGCCTCAGTCAGAAGCAGAATGGGAGGCTGAGTTTTCCAAGTACCAGCAGTTTCCGGAGTTCAAAGTGTAAGGTCCCCTTTATGCCTCTTCACTATGATAGCATAGGTTTAAACTAAGCTGGCGTTTGAATGTGATCAATGGGAAATCTTATCCACTATATATTTGATTTATTCTTGTTCTGATTTTTTTTTTTTCAGACTGAATCATGACATGACTCTTCCAGAGTTTAAGTTTATCTTCTTCATGGAATGGGGTCATCGTATGTGGGGCCGACTGGTTGGGTTAGCATACATCCTCCCCACCATTTACTTCTGGAAGAAAGGGTACTTCAATCGCTCTATGAAGGGAAAAGTGCTTGGGCTGTGTGGATTTGTCTTCTTCCAGGTGAGGTGGTTAACTAATTTGAATTTGTATCCTTCTTGAACAGATTTTGTTTTGATTTGTCATGTTTGTTTCCAAAAGCAAACTGGTATTTTTTAATATTGATGACATTGTGTGTCTCATCAGGGCCTTCTGGGCTGGTATATGGTAAAGAGTGGACTGGAGGACAAGCCTGAATCACATGATATCCCTCGAGTGAGCCAGTATCGTCTGAGCGCTCACCTTGGCTCTGCCCTGTTGCTGTACACAGCAAGTCTCTGGACTGGGCTTACTCTGCTGCTCCCACCACACAAGGTACAGTCTTACTCTCTTTCTTACAAAAGTCTATGTGAGACTGTAAAATAACGGAGTTTTAAAACGAGCACAGTTACTTTTCGTAATCTCTTTTCTTCATTCTACCTCTTTCATAGATGGCAGACACCAAAAATCTCATGCAGCTCCGGAGGTTTGCTAAGGGTACTGGTGGACTCGTCTTCCTCACTGCTCTGTCAGGTAACATTCAGATTTGTACAAATGTTGTTTGACAAGCTAGCTGCAAGATCTCTGGAGTGATCTGAGTGCCTCTTGTGCATGCAAACACTTACTTTTGTTCGGACATGTCCCCTGTCACTTGGGTGAGGTGTTCATTTGAAACAGATGTATGAACTATAAAATTTGAGCTCAGGAATATTTTTATGGAAAAATTTGCAATGTAGATATTTGTCAGATTCGCTTACTAAAGGTGAGCACAGCCTGTAATGATGAAGTGGTGTTTTTTTTTTTTCTACAGGTGCTTTTGTTGCTGGTTTGGATGCTGGGCTGGTGTATAACTCTTTCCCTAAGATGGCTGATAAATGGATTCCTGACGATCTGTTGGCCTTCTCCCCAACCCTAAAGAACTTCTTTGAAAATCCCACCACTGTACAGTTTGATCACAGAATTCTGGTAAGCTATTGTCTCATTGAGCCTCAGCATTTCGGATACGACACACCTTTTAGTTTCTGTCTTATGCCCATTATCATTCAGTAAACCCAGTGACAGAAAGATGTTTTGGATATCCTTCTGACTTTGTTTCATACATTCCTAGGCGATATCATCCTTGACAGCGATTACGGGCCTTTATTTGTTCTCGAGGAGGGTGATGTTGCCCAGGAGGGCCAAGATTGCCATCAGCCTCCTGGCAGCGATGGCCTATACTCAGGTAGGGTATTGGATATATACATGGGTTCACAGTTGAACTGTGTCCATACTCTGGATCTGTGAGTGTTGAAATACTGTTTTTGTGCCCTGTAGGTTGCCCTCGGTATCAGCACCCTGTTGCTCTACGTCCCCACACCGCTGGCAGCAACTCACCAGTCTGGATCAGTGGCTCTTCTGTCTTTTGCCATTTGGGTTCTGGCAGAGCTTCGCAAAATGCCCAAATAAATCTTCCTTGATGGACTAATATAATCCTTTGTAGCCACATGGCAAACCTGGAAGAGTCAGCAGTGTCACAAAATAGGGAATTAAGAGCAAAAAAGGAAAAATTGGTTGTGTTGCATTTTAATCCTCATTAAGAAATACATCCATGACACCATTGTCAGGAGTATGTCCAGCTTTATGCCTTAGTAGATTTGCTCCTTGTTGGATTTCTCTGAGAGTGTCTTGCTTTTACACATTTATCAAAAAAACCTCTTGCCTTGTAGGTGGACACGCTGGCTCTTTGTCAATGGATCTGGCTCCTGGGATTACATATAAATATGTATATTCTCTAAAAACGCTCTATGTCTTGTTGATATTGTGATGCTAAATTATGTTGTAAAATAGTAATATGCAGAGCATTTGGGTAGCTTTCACACAGACATTCACGAAAAAAATCTGAACACATCTTGATTTCAAGCCAGTCTTGTTTTTCTCATTAAGTTACAACTGTTGAAAAACAGTTTGGGTTGTTCTTTTTTTTTTAAAGATTATTTATTTAAAAATAAAGCACTAAACTTTCATGGAATCCAAATGTAGATCGGTTTCTATCTTTTCTGTATAGATGTGGTTTATCCAGTAGTTGTCCTTTGGATGGAATACATGTTTTATAACGTTTCTTTGAGAACAATTTAGAAAGCCGTGATGTCCCTTTGGTTTTCCATGAGTACGGTAGGTGTGTGCAAACTGTACAGGGGTACTCTGTTAGTGTGAGAACTGCATATAGACCTCATTGTGTTACAGGTACAGATCTGAGGAAGGATTTTTTTTAAGTGCTCTTAAACAGGCTCGGTCATTTAAAAAAAATTACCTGATAAGACGTTTGAAAGAGAGTATTGATGAAGAAAGTTAGTGAATGAAGTGTAGTGTGGATGTTGAAGAAAGACTGGAGAATTTAATCAGCCAGAGAGGCTTTTCCAAATTTCAGGCACAAAGTAAATGGCTGGAAATTTGTGAAAGTAATCTGAACATCAAAGCATCAGAAATCGTAGGCCTTTTTGGCCACAGTTTGTGGCACTATGGGGGGGAAACCAGACACTGAGCATCATCTTACACAGTAGACATGTAACTACTTCCAAACGGTTGGTATATTAATAGAATACTTTGTATTTTCTATAGTTGTCTAGTCTTAAAAAAGACAATCAAGAGTACACACAGTAGTTAAAATCCAAGTTTCAGCCCATTTTGCATAGTAACTGTGATTTTTTTTTATTGTCTCTGTACAAAATATACACATTTTGAATATGCAGGTAACCAGCTGAGGCTAGCTAACTAGACAGTTAGTACAACAGGTTAGTAGGTTTTCTTTGTTCTAGACAGAGCACATGCGGGTACAGACAGGTTTTACTAAGGGTCAGGAAAACAACTTTAAAAATCTTGGCAGAAACAACTGAAGCAAAGACACTTTGGTCCAGGAAAACAATCTTGACTCAGCAGAACAGAGAAATAAGAAATTACAGGTTTGGAAATGTGCATTTTCAAATGAACTCTAGTGCACCCCTATACACTGTTCTCAGAGAAGAATGGAGGCTGGAGGAGAGAAAAAGTACTGTGTTTAGAACGTTATTGCTATTCCACGTTAGTCTCTTGGTTCTGAATTTAATTAAGCTTTGTGGGCCTCTGGTACATTACCTCAGATTGAAGAGAAGTTCTAGCGTGAAAAGAAACAAGAGAGGGTTTACAAATGGTTCCAAAATTAATATTCATCGGGCCTTAACGTGAAGGTTCACAACCCAGAACTCCGCTCCAGTCTGGACAGTGTGCAGACAAGCCACTTAGCCTGTAATTGATCTCTGATAGCTTGTTTTTGTCCAGCTAAATACAGAGCATCCTAATTTTTATTTTCTTTTTGGTGTCACAGAGTAGAGAAAAAGGACTGTGGTGATTTGTAAAAAAAAAAACATACATGTCCCTCATTGCTGATGCACACAAACACATTTACTTCTTTGAAATGGGATTGGCCTAATTTAATTCAGCATGGGATTTGTGTTTTTAAGTGATTGAACCAGCTACAACAACATGAAATTGCAGATTACAAAGAATTCACAAATACGGTCTGTAATCTATGAAATTCCCTTTGAGTGTACTTTGATAGAACGATACGACTGTTGTATTCCAGCCCATATTGAGAGATACTTGATTGGCCAAGAACTCATTAACTGTGATACAACCCCCACGTTATACTGGTGAATATCACACTACTGGGGAGGCTATAAATAGTACAACAGTCAACATATAACTACTGCTAGGACTGTTAAAGTTGGAAGGCCAGGAATTCTCCTACCAGAATCCCATGAAGAGAAGTGAGTGTCATCCCAATTTTGTCTTACATAAATAAGATAGACAGCATTTCTCTTTTACACATGCACACGCATACACACACGCTAACACACACACACATACACACGAAGGGTGAGGCACCTGTGAGTGACAAGGAACAGCAGACAGACGAGCAGACTTTGGAGTATCTCTGTAAATACATAATTAGATATAGTGACATCATCATGCGATACTGAAATCAGTTCCTCGTGGAAAACAATAGTTTTAAACCTCCATCTATGAAACAGAATCGCTTGGATCTCCAGTGTGTTCAGGAAGTGTGTGTTCTCGCTCTCGTCCACCAGGTGGCCATGGACTCCTTCCTTTCCGTGGCCAGCTCCGGGGAGGTTTTCCCAGATGCGCAGAGGCAGGATCTCCGTCACAAACCCAAGGATCAGGACGGGGGAAAAAGAGAGAAAATAATCTTACACAAACGTTGACAGCCTCCTTGTTCTGAGTTTGGCCTTCAGAGGGCTGTGGTAGTTCCTCCATCGGCAGCAGTATTGATAAAAATCAATAAAACAGGGGGAATGTTAAACATGTCGGTGGTGTTGAGCCTACTGCGAGGCGTCTTCCTCTGGACCTCTGGGATAGAACTATGGTTCTCTGTGAAGACGACATAAGTCGAACAATCTCCCCTGTCCGTGAGAGAATTGCCGCTGGGGGTCCAGGAGGAGGACCCTCAGGACTCACAGCTCTCAGTGGTGACACAAGCGCAAGCTTGCACGTTATTCAACCATACAATTAAACATACACACACTCACGCATCCATAAACTCTCTCTCTGTCTTCAATCCTGATTCCTATTTGACACACACGCTGCCCCCCACCCCCACCCCCGGAGCCAGTATCCCTGCTGGTCCAGATCCTTAGATGACGTTGTCGAACAACTGCATGGACTGCATGATGTTTTCATCCTGGACAGAGACAACGGGACAGGTTTGAGTGAGGACACATTGCAATTTGAGCTCATGCCTAACCCCGTTTGTCTCCGGTTTGTTTTGTGGTAAGATTATGCCAAACTATTGTGTTAGGACGTGACCATAAAGCGTGAGCGCCCTACCTTTTTACATGATTCAATGAACTCATCTATGGTGACCACACCGTCTTTATTCTGATCCATTTTCTGAAAGGAAACAGCGACCAAATTTGGTTCAAATTAACTAAATGTACTGGTTCGAAACAACTAAACATTGAAAGGCAACGAGAGGTGAGTCCGACCTGGAAGAAACTCTCTACGTGTTCTCTTGGAGCCTCGTCATGCATGGTGGGATAAGTGTACTTCCCCATCATGTCATAGATGGACTGCATTATGTCCAACATCTCCTGCACATTTGGGGGCAAAGTGGTAAAAAAAATTAAATGTCTGACACCCAATATCTGAAATATGAGTATTAAAATGAAAGCTGATGTGTCGATGGTTCACTTCATATGGACAAGGTTGCCAGGATGTTTATATGTCTCTAAAGTGGCTCTTTGCCTTTTCACGAGGACATTCTGGTCAGTAATTACGGGTGTGTTACCTCCTTGGTGATGCAGCCGTCCTTGTTCAGGTCGTAGAGGTTGAATGCCCAGTTTAGCCGGTCATTGATGGTCCCTCTCAGGATGATGGACAATCCAAATACAAAATCCTAAAATAACAGAGTTACTGTTCAAGCATTGTTTGGGTCCTAACCCAGGAATGTTCATCACCTTTTTTTCTTCATGAGCAGATGTGAAGAGGTAAAACGTGTTTGGATGCACATCTGTCTTCTCCCTTTACTAAAGTAAGAATAGAGCTCACCTCAAAACTAACTGAGCCGTTCTTGTTTGTGTCGAAGGCTTCAAACAGGAAATGTGCATACATACTTGAATCTGTAAAGGGAGAGACTTCCAGTTACCCACATGTCTTTAAAACATGAAATCTTTGAACAGCTAAAATCATTAGTGACCTAAACATAGACTAGTTGTACAAATGATTCCAAATACAACTGGAGGCTAGTGGTTAACTTTTCATCAACCTAAATATCAGAAAGTGAGAAATGGCTTCCCCTTTCTGTGTGCGAAGTATGGTCCAACAAAGTCTTTATAATGAATGACTAAAGGTATATTACACAATGCTGATAAAAACTCATTCACTCAGAAAATAGCAATGGAAAGCGTGGTCTGAGTGTCTGTCTTGGCACAGATATGCATCTAAAGGACTTGGAGAACTCACCTCCCTGAGGGAAGAACTGAGAATAAATGTTCTTAAAGTTCTCCTCATTCACCGCTCCACTTGGACACTCCTAAGACAAAAACAAAGGAAAGCAATAGTCAATAAATCCATTTGGCGTAAAATAAAGAAAACACTGTACAGATACTTTACCCCAGACCAAGCTGATACTGTTTGAAACCCCACAAAGACAAACTACAACCAGTCTGCTTCACCCGTATTTTGACAAATTTCTTTGGCAAGACATACATTTTTGAAACCCCTGTAGAGGACTTGCAGCTCCTTCTTGGTGAATTTAGTCTGCTCCTGCAGCTTGTCCATGCTTTCAGGGCGATGACAGACAGTAGATAACTCAAAGTCATCTTCCACGCTGTCTGTGAGGGACAGAAAAGGATTTATCAGCTGTTAACATCATGATAGCCTCCAGGTTACTTTAGCTTTGACCCCTCCAAGTAATATATTAAATTTGTTGAGCCATATTAAGGTAAAATCTGCAGCTCAAATGGTAGTATTTGAAAGTTTGTGAACCCCATCTGAATTTCGAAGATACGTTTGTTTGAATACAAGATTGAACATGAAAAGATTTCCATGAGGCCTAAATCTAAATGAAGAAAAACTAATTTTAAGAAAATGATGGTAATTTACCTGCTTCTTTAATTATTAAGAAAATAATCCATCTCTGAATAGCTCTAGGTTGAGCAGTTAATTTGATGTGAAATAATTTGGGATGGGATAACAACCAGGTGTGATCGGGCATCCTGTTTCATTTCCATCGCTTAGCGACTGAACATGGACAGGACAAGTAACCGGGAGAAATATTTCTTGTAGACAGATGAGACCAAAAGCTTGTAATTTGACACTAAACCTGCAGAAAAAGTGGATTCTGTGATAAAACAATGCCCAAACCAACAAATGCTGAAATACTTTCACAGATGTATAAGATGCGGTAATTTTCTTCGTAAATGTAACATTTGTATTCATTAGGCTTTCATTACAACTTGGGTTGCTGCAATCATTTTAGATCCAACTGCTACATAAGTACATAGCAGGGGTCACAACCTCTCAAGCACTGCATTCCACATTATACCCTTTTTTTTTTTTAAACTGCTTCATAAAAAGAAAAACTTGTTTCCATGTTGTTATAGGCTTATTCCACATGTCTTTTCATCTGTACTTTATTACATAGCAAAGCATGAATCGGCACATTGATAGAATTACTGAATGTCTCAGGTCATGCTAAAGCACACGGTAGAAACATCAAAGATGCCGATGCTGAGGAGGTGAGAGATGCCATTTATCATCATGAATTGCATTTTAAAAGCTGTGAGGAGAATCACCGACAGCTGTTCTTCGCTTCATACCTGCTGTCTGTAGAGTACTTCTAGCACCAGCTTTACGCCCTTCCTCTTTAAAACTACATACTCACACACACTCGCACACATTCAAATGCCTCATTCTACAAACCACGAAGGACAACAGCAGAGTTATGACAGAGCTTAGAGTTTGTGGAATTTGTGTGACTGGGGATATAATTGTACATACACTGTGTGTTTATATCTATAAAAGTATATATAAATAGTATACTTTGAATATTTTAGCAACCAGGTCCACACAAATGTCTGTTTGAATCTTCTCGATCCACGAGGGAGCTTGCTGGAAAAAGCAGAGATGTATAGAGAGTGAAGGAGCACTTGCTTTGGGAGATTGAGGGGGTAGTCGAAGGCTTGCAGCAGGGCAGCAGCTTGAGGAATCGCTGCTTTATGGTTTTTTTACTTTGGCTGGTGGAGGGATTACCTGCAATCGCCAACCATAGTACATAGGTTAGATAGAACACACGTGCACACATGCCCTGAGGTGTGATACATGCCTCTAAAACCAAAAACACACGACATGCAACAGAGAGATGCAACGATAAGTTACTAGTGGCTCTTTAGGCCAACGGGTGGTTGCCAACTGGATTGGCTTAGCGAAGGGAGACAATGAGACAATCTTTAACCGGGTCTGCGTATTGCAGAGACTTCTTTGATTTGAATTATAATTTTTGTGTTTCTTCTGTCGAGAAGTGGGAGTCATAAAAATGCCACATTGCCCTACGCACGTAGTTCAGAGAACAGCAGCGAGCAGACACACACGTGCTGCTTAAATCAAACCCTGAGATCAGTTTCCAGGAGAATGTTTGCCACCATGGTGCCGGCTTATCCGCGAAGCAAACAGCTACATGACGTTTCCCATAATGAATATAAAGTCAGGAGACACAAAAGAAATTTGATACATTAGACCATTCTGTTCTGCCTCTTAGTTTCCATGGCAACAATCCCTTCACCCCTTTTAGAGGGACCCAAGCGGTTTGAGGGATGAAGGCCATTATTGGGTGAAAATCAACAGAACTACGGCACCTCCACTGACAGGTGAGCCCCTGCCATGTGTCACCCTGCAGTCTGGGCTCTGCGCAGGCTCAGGGACTCTGGCTCTCCCAACCTGTGGCTCTGGAATGATTCCCAATCAGAGCAAGCCGAGCACGCTGTCCAGTGCATAGCAGATACATCCATCCAGCTGCCTTACACAGACCCAACCCCACGCCTCAGGGTTTGTCAGCAGGTTAGTGCTTATCTTCTTCCAAGTTAATTTCACAACTGACCACAACACAGGAATCGCTACATATTACTGCCATATTCACAAAAAAACAAACAGAGTACCACTACGGCGCAGGACAGCATGCACCTTGGATAAACCTTCTGACCAGTGCCATTGTGCAACACTTCTCATCTTGAGAACTACTACTAAATGGACTTTGGGGTGAGGCTAGTTTATTGACAACTTTCCATCCTCTTTGAATAGTCAATAAATGACATGAGTGTGATTATATCACAGTTTAATAATCCATGCAATTGTATTATACAAATGTGCCAGATGTATAAACTAGAATACAAACTTGATGCACCAGACGTCTGTCAAGTCATTTCAGTTTAGTCCATGACACCAGAGTAGTTCTTAGTGAAATTAGTTCAACAAATGCAAAGAAATCAAAGCCAAGGGATTTTTCACATTTGAGTTGTGACAATGGTTCAAATATTGTGATGGTTTTAATTGAGACAGATGGTAAACAAATCGTTTGTTCGTGATTTCTACTGTCGTAAAAAAGAGCATTTAGCTTGCCATATTTATAAAGATCATAAAAGCAGAATCTCCTTGAAACTATCAGTCATTAGATGCTTGTATTAGGACTAAAGCCTTTTCTCTGACATCTTCTGGCTTCCACTTCCTCTGTTTTTGTCTGTTCTCTCTCTGTTGTCTATGTATTCTACGTACCTACCCAATGTGTGTTTGAAACAGTATTTTCTAGAAAAGAACTAGAGCACTTCTCTTTGATGTTGTTGAGTATTTATTTCTGCTTTATTAAAGCAGAACTGGTGATGTTAATGATTTTCTTTCTGTGCTTTTCAGTAGTTGTGCTGGATCATGACACTGTTAGCTTTGGGGCCCTGAAGTATATTCTGCAATTTGAGCTTGGTAGTTTTTCCCCTGGGTGCTGCTGACAGACCATTACTGCACCTCAGGAGCTTGTCATTGGGGCAGGTTGTTTTTTTTTTGCCATTATTGGATACATTTTTTTTTTATTCACTGCTTCATAAATCCACCACCAAGTTTTCTCTCTCTGGTTGCTAGACTGATTTCCTACATCTTAAAGGTCCACCGTGTTCTTGCAACTAGCTCATGATAAATGAACACTTAATCAACAGCTCCTCGTATCACTTTTGAATGGATATTATAGCTCTTAATTATCAATGCCAATATTCAAAGTATGGTAAGGAAAAGTGGAAGTAACTTCATTTTGCTTGCTACAAGTCTTGTGTTTTAGTCACTCATCACCAATACGATCTCTCAGTTGTCCTGACACAGCTGTAGTTGGTGATTTTTCATGACAAATGGTAAAAACGGGGTAACCAGCCCATTAGAATAGAATGGCAAGGGCCCCTGACCAAATGTCAGCATGTGGTGAGTTAGAAGTGAGACTGTGCTGGGCTGGCCCTTAAAAGAAAAACTGCCAAAAATAATAACAAGTGCATGAGCTCAGACAGCTCAGGAGACACTCCAGGGTTGTATTTCCAATCTATCAAAAGCCCCTCTGAGAAATACTCACTAAAAAAGAAAATATATGTTCAAGGACGAAAATTAACACTCAAGTTTACAATCCCGATAAAAGATCTGCTAGAATAATTTACTATCGGCTCCACGGAATACTATTGGATAAAGAATCTGATGTCCTGATGTTCAGCAGTATCAGTTCTGCTCTTGAAGTGAGATTGACAGCCAATAAAAACACTGCTCATGTTCTTTCATCCTCCCTAAGAACACTCTCACATAAAAACAAACAACAAAGGACTCGGGGTATGACTGACATGACAGCTAATTAGTAAGGAAATTGGGTTCAGTGTTTATCACTGATAAAGCACAGAAACCCACACTAATGCTTATGTAGACACCCCCATTCTGAGCAGAGTGTTCACACCGCCCACCCCTGCTTAAACATTCAGACTAACTCTATGCTTCTCTCTCTCTCTCTCTTACTCTCTGTCTCTCTCTCTCTGTCTCTCGCTCTCTCTCTGTCGCTTTCTTCACGTTTCTCTTACCTGCCACAGAGATGTCGATAAGCCCCAGGAAGTGCATCAGTTTGAGGGAGCTGCAGACCACCAGGAGGATCCCCACAGTCTGCAGCCCCTCCACCTCCCACTTGTCTCGGTAGAACAGATGCATCCCTTCCTCTTTCCTCTCCCTCTGTTCCTGTCAAAGAAATCTTTCTCCTGCCTTGGGGCGACCACGTTCCCACGCCCCCCTCCCTTAGCTTCCAGGGAGAAACGTGCTGTTTCTTCGTCTCCTCAGTCTCTCCTCTCAGTCTCCCTCTATATGCCGGTGTTCGGCCATCCTAACTCTGCACAGCTCCCCACCCACTTTTCTCACTGAGGTAAGGTTGTTATCCTCCTTGTTTCTTCTCCCAGAGTGGTAAGTGCGTAGCAGCAGGGATGTCATCTGCTGCACCAACCCCACCTCCACTGACTCTGTCAGCGGCTGTAAGTTCCTGGTGAAGTTTGGACGCTTCACTGTCTGGCGGGTTGGCGGCAACTGTTTTCTGACTCTGGTTTTTCCAGCGACTAACTCTCAAACTCTCTCCACGCTCCGCCTATACTCCCTCTCTTTCACGCCTCACCTCCGTCACTCGACTGGCGGGTCCCTCCCATGCTTAATTGGGTCAGTGACGAGACTGAGTGAAAGGGAAAAAGAGGAAACGGACGGCAAATTTAAGAAGGGGCAAGGGATGAAGGGTGCGATGAGAGCAGAAGAGGGGGAGTCATACAAAAGACAAACAAGAAGAACGACTTGAGAAATGAGGTAGGAGAGACAGCAAGATGAAAGGTTACCAGGAGATATGGGAAGGACAATATCCAAGAACAAGCTCAAATATCCAACTCAAAAAGGTGCTGGATAATGGAGGACAAACTAAGGAAAAGAAGAAGAGGAAGAGAACATCTAACACAGGGAAGAAGAAAAACTGTCAACAGGAGTGTGAGGCATCTGACCCAGTAGCTTCTGTGGACAAACTCCCAGATGCGGCCGCCTCCCCTGAGTGTGAAGTTGACACATGTGCATACAAACACATAGCCTGGAGGTGAAATCTGGCCATAACATGAACTGCATGTGCAGCCTGGCACAGCGTGGAATGGGGATGGGGTAGCCTATATTGCTGTCATATCTGGAACACCGATACAAATGTGGTATTTATAAAAGAAACGAGCATAGAGTTTAAAGGAATGGAATCATGGTGATCTTTATGAGTTGGGATGTAGATTAGTTTGGACTTGGATCAATCACACCAGAGGGAAGTAATGAATAATGTAGGTTGAACTTTTTCAGTAAATCCCTTACAGTAAGATATAGCCCCGGAAACCTTTGAATTTGACTTCTACTGAACTCAGCCTGAAAATGTTATTATGATTCTTAATATTGCTAGGTGACCAGTAAAGTGTGTAACTGTGAAGTGGCTGAAAAACCACAGAGTATTACAAGCAGATGTGATATTAAAATGACTCTAAGGTTTTTTCAATTACAAATAACTAGAGCGCTGCCCTAGGCTGCTATATACATGAGTCCAAACTATAAAAACTAATAACTTTTTCACAAGTTCCTCAAATATTTGGCAGTTGTTCACTTTATCTTTATGGAGACAAGTGTGATATCTGGGGGAAAAAAGTGATAAAGCAGTTATTCAACAAAGCTGGGTATCGTGGGGGAAGCATATCTATCAAAATAATTAATAGATAAAAACGAATGAATTGACACATTTTGTTGAAATCACTGTAAGGAACTTTTCTGTCAGCTTTATGTTTGAAAGGGTATAATGATGATTTTTGTCCTGCATTTTTACAGCCTGCCTTTTTCTTATATAGTCACAAAATGTTCATTAACTCAAACTAAACCATCACAAGTCATATGTTTAGTTTTTTGGACTTTTGGGGCATGAATAATTCATTAGCAGTGTATTGATGATGATCGTGATTGATGATTGTGTATATTTACCTAATTATAAAATTGTGTCAGAGGGGTTAATATCAAGATGTATTTAATTATAAAAAAGAACAGCAACCGTGTGCTGTTCTTATGCCCCAATTTGGCATGTACTGCAAGCATTAGTTTACAGAACAAATATCTGGAACTGCATGCCAAAGTGATTCCACTTATTAACTACATAGTGAATAAGTGGAATCCAACAAAAAACATTGTCATTGTGATTAATGAAACACATTCATACAGTGACCACAGAGACTATGCAGTATAGATGGCGAGGAACATAAAAGCTCTCAGAGGACCACTGTGTGCTCAGCTACAGTCTGTGTACTCATGATTTCCTAAAGACGGTGACACATTCAGGCCACTAAATTCTCAGTCTGCTGTCAGAAAGTCATATCAATGATGAAAGTCTGAGATTAAGAATGGTCACCCCTATCGTTGTGTCTTAGAAAACGTATTTGGATATTGTTTCTGTTAAAGACACCATAATGTGAGATCAGTAAATTACAAGTTCTACAATAAATTCCTTAACTTTACCCTGCTGATGAATCTTTGAACTGGCATCACAGATTTCGCGTTCAAGGAGCACCCAAAAGCACTTTATTTTGCAGGTACGGTCACAAAGTTCAGCCTACCTCTCCCTACCCCAACGCCAATTTGAAAAGGTGTTTTAAAGACCACTTCACAGTAAAAAAAATAAAAAAATAAAAAGAGCTCAAAATTTGACAAAAGGAAGTGGCTTTTGTTTAAGAAATAAATTAAAACCTTTATTTGACAAAATATCATTTGCAATCGTAATCATGTATGTCAGTCACACAAGTCCTGTTCTGAAATGAGTAAATTACTGATAGCATCAGTATTTCTTCTTCTATATTGGCTCTGCATCAATCAACTGAAACATCCTGATATGTAGGTCATTATATTGAAGTTATTATTTCTTATCCAAATAAATTCCAGTTTTGAAAATAGTTTTTATAATTATTTATTGTTCAAAACATTTATTATTAATCTATTTACACTTCAGATATTAATAATTCTTTTATATCTTCTGTTCAGTCGGTGATTGACAGCTGGCTGCTTTCATGATGCTTCTTATGTACTCCTGAACTCATCTTGTCAGGTTTCAACAAAGACATGCAGTTTGTTAGAATAAGAATAAAAAATAAAGCTGGTGTCTGTCTCTGTATGCTATATATAGTTATAACTATGAAAAGTAAACCATACTAAGTCATAAAAGAAACATGTTAATGAAAGAGTTATAAGTCATGAAAATGCACATTGTGTAGTAGATTGAATGATAGCAGTCTGTACCAGTCCATGCTAAATACGTTCTTGAAAACTGAAGAATAATTTCCCTTGGAAGAGAGCTGTGATAAATACACAGACACATAAATACACAAAGCTGAATTAAACATAAACCCTGGCTGCAAAATAAAGGCCAGCGAGAAAGTAAACAGTCAACCTCATAAACGCAGCTCTGCCTGAGAACCGAAAGGGAGAGAGACTTGGAGAATAGTTTATTCAGGTATAAACTGAGCTGTATTTGTCCAACATTAAGTAGATGATTAGATCAAGACCGGACAGGGGCCTGAGAAGTATTGGGGGGAAAATGTCATCTAAGTGCCACTAGAATTGGCTCATTTGCTTTGACTTAACAGAAAGATAACACTCTCCTCTGCTCATTCCTGAGTTAAACCAGATATCCTCAAGCACCAATAGATCTATGAGCTTAAATCAAAGAGATGTCTATTGCCAACCCATGGATGTTGTCACACCTCTGAATTGATGGATCCCGGAAGTTCTTCTGGTTATGAAAGTCGGGTAAACAACAAAATCCCCACTGAGATCTCCACATGGCAGCTGTCACCTCAGTGCTAATCCAGCACGAGCTCTGTGCAATCTGTTGCCAGCTGAGTGAAAGTGTTACTCCATTTGCTTAGAAACTGAGTCTGTGTGATATAATTAGCTGATCAGAAGTGATCTTACAAAAGTGCTTCCAGAAAAAATCCTCAGATGTTCCTCCTCGTTCAACGTCCTAACACGCTTGCTCCCTTGCCAAGGGCAGTGGGGTTCCTTCAGAATGAGATACCTCTGAGTTTATTTTAGCAAAACTGTGTGCATGAGAAAACTGATGGCTTTAACAACTCTCAAGAGATATCCTGATATCAATATGTTGAACTTTCCATGCCCAAATTCTGATCTATAGAAGATGTTGGCACTCTCGCACACATGCAGCCACTCACGCATACACTCGGCTGTAATAAAATGTTAGGTTAATCAGTCTAAGTTGATTAGTCTCTGTGAGGCATAGTTTGCCTGAAGCCAGACACACCACGTAATTGAAATGCCTCCATATTTAGACATCTACCTGGGCAATTATTTCTCTCTAAACTGATTAGAATGTCTAACAGAGAGAAAGGGGGAGTGTGTGTGTCTGCACGTGTGTGTGTGAATGCATGCAGCGAAGGAGGCGCAGAGGAGGTCATTGACAAATGGTGCTCAAAATTGGCTGGTGTGTTTTAAATTAGATAAGTGAAATAAGGGATCCATTTGCATAGATCATTAACTTTTGAGGATATTTTTAATTCTGTGATGTGGGACAAAAAAAAAACAGACAGTAACGTGGTTGAATCTGCACAGCATTAAATACAGTGAAGAACAAAATGTAGAATAAAACAGACATTCTGTTTTAAGGGATTCAAACTTATTTAATTCATTCTGATCACAGAAACAAAACTGAATAAAAACATTCATTCATATAGTAAACCCTTAAATATGAACAGTATTTAGGAAGACAACGTTAAATACAATGAAAACTAGATTATTCAGTAAGGCTCGATTGTTAAACTCTGTGGACTACTGACTTTATAGAAACCCTTCCAGAGTATGTTAAATTTTCCTGAATGTAACTTTAAATTTTCTTTTTATGTCTAATATTGTTTTTTGAGTTATTGAGAACAAGTTCTGTCAATATTATCTGTTAGACACTGACATTTAGAGTTAGGGATTTTTTTCTATGAAAGACCTAAATAACTTGCTCACTAACAAACTAAAAATTGCAGACCATCTGTGACCCTCAGCAATGACCATTCAAACCTGTAGAGGGCAGTGCCATGTAAGATATCTGACTCCATTCTCAATCGCTGTCAATTCCATCAATGCACTTTTTGTCTTTACTATTGTCCCCCTCA